ACTTTAAAATACTCCTACCCCCTATATAATATAACTATAATATGCTTATATATAGATAGATAAATCTACTACTAGTAAAAGAATTATATAGTATTAATTATAGTAATATACTTTACACTAGATATTAAGGATAGTATTTCCTCCTAAGATAGGAGGGGGTAGACATCTAGTACTACCTCTTAGTTAAGGTTATAATTATCTATAATAACTTAGGACTTTAGTTTTTCTTCTTTATTTTCTATAGTTACACACCATACCATGAAGACTAGGTAACTAGAAGGTATATAGTTTTTTAGAAAAACTATATATCTAGCTTAGTGTAATCTATTAAAGACCTTATTAATAATATCACAGTCCTACTAGCTAATAGGGTATTACTTAGAGCTCTTCCTTAGGTAGCCCTCCTATCTATCCTTTATTAGTATATACATCCAGACTTCCTTAGGGATATTAATAAAGTTAGAGTTAGTCTAAACCTCTAGAAATTATATAAGGATTAGCTATAGTGTACTAATTATATTTATATTACTATATATTATAATACTATTAGGAAGTTTTATTTACTTTATAGGTTCAACCTCTATAGGGATAATTTAGTAATATTATACTTATTATATACTACTATATGTGGGTCTAGGTTAGCTAGTTTAAGTTTATATAATTCTAATATCTTAGATTTAACTCTTATTATATAACCTTCTTCTAGTCATACATACAAGGCATTAATAATATTAATCTTAGAGAGTATACTAATATATACTCTATTATTAAGTATAATTAGCCTTTCTATTAGATTAACTACCACAACATGTGAGAAATTTATATTAACTATAAGAGTAAAGAATACTAGGCTATAGTACTGTAAGGGTTTAAAAAGGTAGTCTTAGTCTGCTAGCAGGCTTTTTAAGGCTTTATATTAAATTAGGATGTGTATTTTTTAGTTTAGTTATATAGTAACCTTTTTATTAGTATAGATTAGTTATAGGGCTACTCTATGATTTTATTTAGGTGTTACTATAATAGGTATAATAGTATTTTTATAGGAGGCTATTATAGTAGTGCATGATATAAAATTAAAGGAAAAGCCTTTAGCTATAAGGGTGTTAATACTAATTAATATATTAGCTTTCAGGCCTTATATAATATAGGCCTTATATATTAGATATATAAGTATAGGGCCATTATTTAACATAGCTAGGAAAGATAGTTAAATATTAATAAATTAGGTACTTATAAATCTATTTAATATTCCCTTTACTAGGATTAGTGTTGGGCAGTCCAATATTTTAGTATTAGGGATATAATATAATAAAAATTACTTATTAATAATAGTTATAGTATAACCTATGTTAAGGCAAACTAATACTACTAAGTTAGCTTATACTAGATATACTTATATAGTTGTATATTTCCAGCTATAGAAGTTTAGACCTAGGATATCTATTCCTAGCTTTATATTTAATTAGATGATAAGTATAGCTAGGTCTAGATAGTAGAACTCTGCTTCAAGGGCATTATAGTTAGAGATATACACATGTAATACATTGCCAGAGGGGAATATAGTACTATATCTGCTATAGTTAATACTGGATATTTCTTATAGCTGTGCTATATATGCTTCTAGGTTCATAATATCATTATTACTATATTCTTTAAGGTATAGGTCTGCCATTTTAGGGCCTGATTCATAATAGAAGTCTAGGTTATTAAATTATAGCTTAGCTAGATCATAGTCTTATTCCACTGTATTATTACTATAGTTTACATATTTAGGTCTGTGGTGTTATATATAGGTAAAATTAGATTTACCTTTTTCACCTTAGGTTATTACTAAATACTATAGAATAGGGGATAGGTTAGGAGCAAGGGATAGAGGTGTCTTTTACTATTAAAGTTAAGTATTAGCCTAATAATTCTACTAATTCTGCTATAGTTAGCAAGGGGGCTATCTTTAGTTCTACTATATTTATAGGTTTAGGGACTACTGCTTTCCCTAGGGGTTTAACTATTAGGTAGGGTTAGCTTAGTTCTACTATTATAGGGTTTTACCTTAACTTTAGTAGTTCTACTATTACTGCTAGTTTAGATTTTAAGGCTAATAAGGGGGGTATTACATAGTAGGATAAGTCTAGAAATAATTAAACTAGTTAGTTTACTTATGGTTAAGTATCTTAATAAATTAGGCTATAGTAGTACTATCTTAAGGCTTATTAATATTAGAGTATAATATAATATCTATATTCTACTATATATATAGGATTAGTAGGTATTTAGCTTCAGCTTCACCTACCTACTTAGCTAATGCTATGATTATAGATATATAAGTAGAGGGGCTCTTATAGTAGTTTATATTAAATATAGTATATATAGTATTAGCTAAGTATTCTATAGCTTAATTAGGTAGTATTTAAAAATACTTCTTAATTTACTTATACTAGTCCTCTATATTTAGTAAATAGATTAAGCCTATTTATATAATAGGATTAACTTTATTATTCTACTATTTTATGGCTTCCCTGTATAAGTAGGTATTAAGGTTTTAGTAAAGCTTTATAATATCTTAGGATCTAGCTATAATATATAGTTAATTAGTAAATATATATATAGACTAATAGTAGATTTTATTATCTCTATCTATAGTATTACTATAACCCTAGGAATATAGCATATCTAGGAAGAAATAACTAATATCTACTAGTTACTAGTAGCTACTAGCTACTATTAAATTACTTATAGTAAATACTAGGGTTATATATTCTATAGTAGTATAGTTAAAAATAGGTATTCTTATATACTATGAGGGTAGGTTTATTAATACTATAGAGGTTTGCACTATCTACTAAATAATATGCTATAATATCTATATTTAGATAAGTAAAAAGAGTACTTCCTAAACCTCTTTAGTTTTAGTAGTCTAAGCTTATTATTTACCTAAGTATAATATGCTAGGGTCTGCCATTCTAATTAGTAATACTTATCTAGGCTAGATAGTTTTATATAGATTAAAGGGTGACTTAGGCCTTAGTAGTAATTTACTAGATATAGTATTATTATTAGATTAAGATTATTATATTTTAATAGTAGGTGAGTGGTATGATAAAAAGAAGTCTTATAGTAGGTTAGGGATAGATAATACTATAGTAGAGGCTAGTTCTACTTAGAAGAAGGAGTACTTTCTACTAAAGGTTAATTAGAAGTCTATAGTTATTAGTACCTTCCTTCTTAGGATATTATGCCATAGTTAGGGTGCCTTAGGTATAGGCTTAATAGTAGAGTAAGGGTTAGTATAGGTATTAGTTAGAGGTTTAATAGTAGTAATATTATTTATTTTAGTAAGGAAGTGTTATACTACTATCTAAAATATCTATAAAGAATATAGCTAAGTTTTTAGATAGTATAATATAATAGGTTCTAAGGTAGCTTAGGTTTACCTAGATTTAGTTAATAAAGCTTATTAAGGTAATAAATTAGGGTAGTAAATAATAATATAATATAGATAGCTTTTAAGGTTATAAGACTTTAACTAGTTTAGAAAGCTCTAGTAGTATACTATAATCTTATATACTATCTTAATAACTTTATTAGGTAATTAAGAGAGTAAAGTCTATTATAATATTTAGATTTAGCCTTTCTAGCCTATAAGAATCTCTTATGGTTTAATGCTAAGGTAAGGTAGTTATATATTATAAAAAAAATATATTAGGGGAAAAGATTTAATTTAGGGTCTTAGATCTCTTAAGATATACTACTAATTATTATGGTAGATATGCTTATATAGTATTGTATTTATAATTAGGTTTCTTCTCCCTAAGATACATGGCAGAGATTAGAGATGGAAGTAGGACCTTCCATCCACATGATACCATAGGGGGGAGGGATAGTATAGTAGGTAAGGCCTGCTAGGTGCTTAAGCCTACTAGTACTTATAATCTATCTTAGGTATTAATAACTCTAATCTAAACTAGACACCAGCTTATGGTTATATAATAGTATACTAATTAATATAGTAAGCTATATTATATAACCTTAGCTATAATTTATATATCCTTTTTATATTCAGCTACTACAGTCCTAGTTAGAACCTCTTAGTAATTTCTTACTATCCAGATCTAGGTTATAGATTTACATGGCTTCTAGCCTGTGACAGAAGGTCTAAGATATAGTTATAAAGATTCTAATATAGCCTATTCCTATTACTAAATATAACTATTAGAGACAGCCATTTTAGCTTTAATAATAACATGGTGATTAATACCCTATGAAAATAGGATTAATTAATAGCTATCATTATCACCAGAAACTAAGCAAAGTTTAAGTTCAAAAGAACATAGTTTAGGCAAGAAATTTCAAAAATTTGTTCAGTGTTGAAGTTGTTGTTTTTAAATTATTTACTTAATATATAACACCTAGGGCTTATATAAGTAGTATATGATGATTATAATCTATATAGATATTATTATTAGCTAAGAGTAAAGGTAATACTACTACAGTACTGCCATACTATCTAATATCTATTATTTAATAGAGAGCATCCCCTAATTACTATCATAGTATAACTAGGTGTAAGATCGGCTCTGGAAGTCCGATATCAACTGGTAAGATCAGCGTGAAGGGAGCAAATAACCGTATATTGCCTAAGCAATAAGCAAGGAGAACTAATCGCTGAGTTGCGGAATACTCAGCAACTTGCGGAGATAATTACAGTGTGTGTCACATGACCTGGAGCATACAGCGGTCTTATAGCCCGCCGTAGCCCTTAACACTAGGTACTATATAACTAATTAACTATTATTATATTACATATAAAGTATAATACTTGGATAAATAATAAGGATATCAATGAATCTAATATATTATAATAGTAAAGTAAGATATTAGTAGCTACTAATTAGTATTAGCATATACCTGGTATATTATGTGTGCATATAAAATAGTGGATTAATCTAATAATATATAACGTAGTTAATAATACTTTGAAGTTTGATATTTATGTTTACAGCTTATATTTTTGTTAATTCATGAGTTTTCTTTACCTCAGAAATACTACTTATAAGAGGCTCATTCAATAGGGCTTGCCGTGCAGCTGCATCCCCTGCAACTGCTTTACTAGGTCCATGACCAGAGCCTAAATGCTTATTTTGCCAACCCCAACCAGTAAGGTAAACACCCACATAGAAAGTCTGCATCCCACCTCTTGACTGTACAGGTGAACGCTCATCAACATATTTGAGCTTAACTCCTTTACCCATAATTCTCTTTGCAAGGGTCTCCTTTGCATCCAAAGCAGTCCGCGGTATCACAGTATCCGAGAGCCTTGGGAGCCATAGCTGTGTCAACCATCGTTCAGCAACATGATAACCATCAGTCGGACGAGACAGAATAATCGCAGCCACATAAGACTCGAAAATGTCACCCTTAGTCTTGGTCCATCGCCTGGGCTGGCTAAGCAAGTCCTGTGGTACTGACGCCCTGCCGTCGAGCCCGTATAATGTCGCAAACTCCGACAAAGTCTCATTCTTGACCAGTAGCTCCCTTATTTGCGAAATCTGACCAGAAGAAAGATCATCAAACCTGCTCCAAATGAGCCTCGTAGCGATCAGCTCTATATAGGCATCTCCGAGTATCTCAAGGCGATCGTAAGTCGACTTCGAATCCTTGCTCAAGCCGGGATGTGTAAAGACCGCCAATTCCAGTGAACTGTCCAGAATAGGAGGTAATTCAGGTATGCTGAAGGAATTCCCATTTTCTTGCGTACGGGCGATTTCGACTGATTTATTGTCTGGACGGCTGATGGGCGACAGAGCAGTCTTTGCACGGCGGAAAGCCCTGTCCAACTCGATAATAGCATTCGTAACATCATGCCCAGCATGATCCCTTAGAAGATCAACAGAGTCGACAAGCTCATGAGTCAAGGTTTTTAGAAGGCATAGGCGAGAACGCCGATCCTGCGTCAATGAGCGTTCGCCATTAGAAGGCGCCTCTTGAGCATCTCTCCCGATGCGACAGGCCAATGAAGATTGATCAGCTTCCTGTAACGGGGCCTTCGGGGCAGCACGAGTCTTGGTCTTTCTGCCGTCGTCCTCCACAGGTGGATCGAAAACAGATTTTCTTTTCAGAACCATTAGGAATACCGAGATTTGGGAGGTTAACTTGTGGTGTTCTGTTATCACTTGCTAGGGTGGTACTGTCACACATCAGTCACATGACCCATATCGCAAACCGCCGTCTTTCACTCATCGTGCACTGGAACTTCCGAACCAGAAACTGAGCTCCACAGCAAAAATGGCAGCTTCATGTAGCCGGATACTTGAGTTGGCCAAGGTATGCTGTCGAATTAACCCATGGCATTATTATTGCGTTACCTTGCTGATGATTTCGAGACTCAATGTCGTATATTCTCACTCAATTTTAACCCCCAGAGGCTGCGACTGGGCAATAAAGTTCTACGTCAGCGACTGCGAGGACCTGCACTTGCGGCGTGGTATCCCAGAAAGACTGTTTCATTCCGTGACTTGCAAGATGCCTATCGTCCACTCGGCTTGACCGTCTTCGACGAGTATGAGGACGATCGGGAAGAGGCCATTCAAATGTATGTCACAACACACACTCAGGGTAGAACCTTGATCGCTGACTACGCCTAGTGCAAAACTGAGGGGAAAGGGAAGGCCGAAGAAAAAGCGAACTGCAGCTGGTATGACACTTATACTTGTTCAAAGACTCCTGCTGACCAGTACACAGAATCACGATCGGCGAAGAAGAAGAAATAGCCAGGACCATACTGGAGTCACCATGTCCTATGTGGTCGGCATACATCAGACACAGTTCAGTTTGCGATCCGTTGACACACCTTAAGCAAGACACTGCCGTTCAGATTTGTGTATATTTCACCTTCATTGTTACCTCAAATCCCTTTCAAGATATTCGGGACATCTTCCCGCTCGAATATGAACTCATCTCACAAAGCTTGCCTGATCAGTGTTGCCCTCCGCGTGTCAGCGGCTCGTGAGCTCTCATGTCTGCGTTCGAGATTGGACTAATGGCGAACGCGATCCACTTCACATTCAACAGCGCCTTTTCGCTTCGATTCGCATGCTGGTTGTACCGAATACTCATTGTATTGTCTATTTCGGAAATCTATATTCAAAACTGGGCATGATCAATTCCTCATTTTGCACATAGGTTATATTCTGATGCGGTTGTTCGAACATGTATGGCTCGAGATATCGCCAAGGCTCTTTATCCAGTGTCGAAGTATCACGGCCGGGTTAGGGCTCAAACTGGGCGAAGCGGGTTAGACATATAGATAATTGGAAGAACTCCGCATAAGGACAGGGTCATGTTGCAGATCAAGCTGAAAACCCGGAAGGAAGGTGAAAGAACATTGGTTACAGAAATGGTGGCCCGAATTGATTTGGCTGCTTAAAGTATAAAGTGAACATCGCTACGATGTGTTGACGCAGTTTCTTGTCGCAGATGTATTCACAAGCTTAACAACGCATTTGCGTCAATATATAACCACTAAATGAAAGTTACCATAAGTACAAGTTTGAACAAATAATCAAACCTGCTCCTGGCGCTTAGGAGAGTGTATATCAGTAGGGTCCAGCCGGAGTCGAACCACTACTAGTACTGCAACTTGCAAGTTTGCGACTGGGTATCATCGGACCTTGTCTCTTTTCCTCCTGGCAGCCTGCGTTAGTCAGAGCGGGAGCGGATAGCTAGGATGGCAAACTGAACTCTTGGCACCAACTTGATTTTAACCACCATCAAAGGGCTCTTGCACGACTTACAAGCCAATCCGGTGATAACTTTTGTATTAACACAGTCCAAAGTCATACCGACGCTGTTCTTATTTTTCATATATCTCTTCTGTCCTGGTTGAATCGGATCATGAAACAGAGCAAGAATCAACTGAGAAGGGCCAAAAAAAAGGCCTTAAAGTCGAAGGTAAGTCGAAAGTCACCATCGATACGATGCAGCGAAAGAGATCTGACATCAAATAGGCGGTTGAGAAATATACTGATACTTCCGATCAAGCACCCGAAACGCGGAGCCCGCGTTTAGTTGGCCATCCCGATGCTGCCAATAGCTCTCCCTGGGAGGTGGACCCAGATGCCGGCGATGCGCTATGGCAGATGTACAAGGATATTGCCAGAAAGTTTGACGAGAATGAGGACGAAGTAAGACCATTGGTACAGCCTGAGAAACCGGAGGTCTACTTTGATGAAGACGATGAAATTCCGGACGAAGATGACAAGGGTCCGAAATTATCGAAAAAGAAGAGAAAAGAATTGACGAAGCTTTCTGTCGCAGAACTCAAGGCAATGGTTCGAAAACCGGAAATCGTCGAGTGGACAGACACATCAGCCCCTGACCCAAGGCTTCTCGTGCATATTAAGGCTCACAGAAATGTTGTCCCTGTGCCTGTTCACTGGTCTTTAAAAAGAGAGTATCTGTCTTCAAAGCGAGGGGTTGAAAAACCGCCTTTTGCCCTGCCTAAGTTCATACAGGAGACGGGTATCTCGGAAATGCGAGATGCTGCTTTGGAGAAACAAGAACAAGCAACCCTGAAACAAAAGCAACGCGAAAGGGTCCAACCCAAAATGGGGAGACTGGATATAGATTATCAGAAGCTCTATGAGGCTTTTTTCCGCTTCCAGACGAAACCGGAATTGACTCGTTACGGTGAGGTTTACTATGAGGGCAAAGAATATGAGACCAACCTTAGACACTTACGCCCTGGTGAGCTCAGCGCTGAGCTGAAGGAAGCTCTCAATATGCCGCCCGGTGCACCTCCGCCCTGGTTGATAAACCAACAACGATATGGACCACCGCCGTCGTATCCGGCTCTGAAAATTCCAGGTCTCAATGCTCCTCCGCCTCCAGGTGCCATGTGGGGCTATCATCCTGGCGGGTATGGCAAACCGCCTGTGGATGAACATAACCGGCCACTTTACGGTGGCGACATATTTGGTGTGCTACAACCACAGCAAACTGTTCAACAAGGAGAGCCTGTTGAAAGAGATCTATGGGGCGAGTTGCAAGAATCTGAACCTTCGGATGATGAAAGCGACGAGAACGAGGATGAATCTGAGGACGATGTGGATACTGAAACAGGCTTGCAGACCCCCAGCGGATTAGAGACACCTGGCGGTATAGTCTCAAGCGTTCCATCTGAATATATTGGGGCGGAGAACGTTGCAGGCGAGTTTGACGTGCGCAAGACTTATCGAGGTACCCAGACGGAGGAACATGTGGGACGTCGAAGTGCTTTTCAGGTCATCCCAGAGAAACAAGCCCATGTACAGGGTTTCTTTGGGGCCGACAGAGTATACGATCTCAAGGCGCCTCCGGAAGGCTTGCCGGTGCTCGGTGCTGAGGACCCAAATCGAAAACGGAAGAAGCCTGGTGATGTCGACGTTTCTGTTGATCCAGACGCATTGCAAGTGAGCGATGGGATGAGCAAAGAAAACCTACGGAGTCTTTACGAGTCACATAAGCACCAAGAGACCAATCCCAACTGGGATTTCCAGGAAGACTTGAGTGATATGATCGCTTACGAGAGTCGGAAGAGATTGAAAAAGGAAGAGGATCGACGAACGAAGCATTGAGGCCCAGTTCTGAACGATAACATAGGTACCTGTACCATCGCGCCCCTCTTTTGGCGCATTAGCTAAACAAGTTCCAATGTCATAATCATAATGAGCCATTTGCTGCTCATAATAGCTGCCCATTCTTCCTCTTGTCCATCCAAGACTTCCGAAGACTTCCATGTGTTTGGTCAGACAATAGAATCACAGTCACTAGATTTGGGCAGGACAACCTCCAAAGGGGTATGCTTGTAGAATATAGTTTTAAGCTGGTTACCTATTGTCCTAGAATTGCGGGTTTTTGTATTATGAATGACAAGTTGGTTACGCCGAATTAACTTTAGGTTCGCTCCGCTCACTCCCAGCGCAAAGTTCGAAATGCTACTATAGTAACCTCTTGCTGCTGATCCCATATAGACTTATACTGATTCAAGGTGGTAACAAATGGGGTGAAGTAACTGGTAATGGCTATGGCTACGGGGAGAATGTATATAGGCGAGCAGCACTATACTCCATAGCAAAATTTAGACTCCTTAGTATATATATACAAATAAGCGCAGCTCTAAATAGGAGATCCTAGATAGATGTCGCTAAGGCAGTGGAAGGCTTGGGAGGTAGAAGGGTAGCAGAGAAACAGAGAATTAAGGCCTGAAGGAAGAGGTATAGAGGCTAAACTAAAAGAGGGTATTTTATGAATTCTTGATTGACTATTAAGCAATGACTAAGGTTATATAATATTAGTTAAGCATTCTCCCATGATAAGGTTTGATAGCCGCCTTGGTGTCTTGGTTCAATTTGAACGTGATTTGATTGGTCATAGAGAAACAATCACACGTGACCTTAGTAGCCAACGTAAAATATGGGGTATGGCTGTTGCATTTCATAGAAAAGATACAGATTTCTCTCTCGAACTGAAACCCTGTCATCTCATCCTGGTAAGAGGGTTGTTGCATCTTTTGTCAGTCTTGGAAAAATTTATCATTACATATATTCTGATGACAGCTGTTACACACTGTTATAGCAACATTACGTCAAACGTCGCGGAGCTTTGAGCAAGATGGACTGGGAACGCAGTAGAAGGTAGCGTTTTCGTTAACATTTCCTCCGAGACAACTCTTTGCCTAATGAGGTCTATCATGCTAGGTTCGAAGATCATCGTGGTAGGGAGAGCTATCGACCGCCAGCTCCTCGAGGCTACAGTCGTCACACATCCCCAACACGAACTCGTTCACCTAGGCTTGTCGCTGATACATGGGTGCCCTCCTCTAGTCGACAATACGGCCGTTTAAGAAGTCGTTCACCGTTGCCTTTCAGACGTCATTCACGGAGCCCCCCTTACCGGCACAGAGTCTCCGAGCCTGGGCTATTTGCAAACAGTGCCCCAAGGAGATTCTCGCCTAGACGAGATGCACGCCTCCGATCGCCTCAGATTGGGTGGCGTCCGCGTTCACCATATGGTGACCGCCCTCGTGATAGCTCTCGCGGTCGATCTACCCCTAGACGGCGAGACCAAAGCCCTCCTAGACAGGACTTTACATACCCGAAACGAGAGCGCTACCCATCAACGGTCGATCGTTACAAAAAGTCTGCTTCTCCCCTAAGGCGGGTTCCAGGTCGTGCCAGTGATATTACTCCCTTGACGACAAGCCATCGTCGACGGAGTTCTTCACAAGAGTTCCGAGATCGTCGTTCAGATAACAATACAAGCCAGGCGCGGCCTTCGCCTTCGAATAGGGCTGCTTCAACTATCCACAATTCAACTTCTAGCTCTCGTACGGACTCAAGGCGCTCTTCCCCTTTAAATGACAGGACTAGTGCGACGGTGCGCGAATCGAGAAGCGGGTCACCAGTGACTAGAAACCTTCCGCCGCGCCGCCTGTCTGTATCTTCTGATCATTCTTCATCTCGCCAAGCTGAAACAATCTCGTCGAATGAACACAAATGTGAAGAAGAGGCAACAGATAAGCCGCCAACTTCATTGCAAATCGTTGCACTGTCAAATGATCGTGGTGTCTCCGGCTCCAGCTTGGGACGTCCAGAGAATAACCCGGAGCCTGCGGATGCAATTTCCAGCGCTACTCCTCAAAGTGGACCGAGAGCCGTCTGTACATCGTATGGCCAGACTGCATCGCCCAACATATCTGCAGGGCCCAAGCCGTCATTCAACGCTCGGGGCTCCATGGTATCCCTACTTTCTGCCCCGACTCGCCCTCGCGGAAATATGAATCCGAAGGATTTTGTTCGTTCTACTCGTCGTGGACACGTGCCAATCTCGCAAGCAGCCCCTCCCACAGGGCCGCGCTATGGTCATATCCCGACTGGACCGAGTGTTGACTCTGATCGGCAGCATATCTATCGGCAAAACAGTTTATCTGGGACGTCTTATCCTCGCCAAAGGCCCACCAATTACCTTGCCGGCCTCAATACAGTTGTCCCAGGAGGCAGACTTCTGACATACGACCTAGATACTGCTGTGGAAAAGAGGCTTGCCCAGTTAGAGATGGACAAAGAACGGCTATTTGAACAAATTGCAGATAGCCAAAGGCTGAAGCACCTTGTCATTAGAGACTGGGAGAGGCTAGATAGAGAGAGCTCTATCTGTTCCTTGAAGAGTGAGTTAGCTGAGGGACATTTGCTATGTATAACTGATGGCGAGAGCATGCATACAAGTACCACATTTTAATGAGAAGCTGGGGTCAAATGACAAATTCTTTTTTGGCGATTCAATCCTGTGCCCGAGTTGAAATTACCTTTTAAAACAAGCGTGGAGTGGAAAACTTCGATCAGATGAGAGGGACGAACATCAAATTATTTGGTCTTTGCACTGGAGTATTCGACTTTCTGGAATTGATGTATCATAGAGAGGTATAGCCAGCAGGTACCTAGTAGACTAGCGGAAAGAATGAGGTTGGTCTGTGTAGTATGGAATATCATTCGGACCGACCTATGACAATTGTAACATAACTACGCAACGCGTCGTGTCGGGCCTTGGCGCGCAAGCTGAGGCTTCGTGTCAATATCTTAATATCCAGTATCCACTTTTGCAAACTGTGTAATACCATCACGTCTGCGTGGATGACTTTACCCACTCTCTCAGCGACTTGTGATTGCCTCCATGAGTGCTAAATATTAACATCCTCTTCATCGTGGATGTGATTGTATTCCTGCTCCCAATCCATCAACATCAAGACTCGCAGACTCTCAACTTCCAGTCCTGCTAGGAAGTTCATTTGACCAGTATGAATATCTTCAGGTTATCAGGTGAGCGACAGTATCATATCTCCTCATCAACCGGGTCTATCAAACTGATATACCTAATAGCTGATTTTTCTCATTTAATATCCATCTTCATCCTTTTGCATAAGATGAAGTCTTCTAGTGTACGACATTCCGATTAATTACGCTGATACTATCTGACGCAGAAATGTAGAGCTGCTCTGGTTTATCTTTCAAATCACAAGTTTTGTATCTGCTGGTCTTTCTCACACGCTATCTTGGTGAGTCCTTTGCGCTGCCTATGAGAAGCTTCCATTAACCATTATACGGCCTAGATTTATTCTGGACTTTCACCGACTCCTTATACAACACCACCTTTAAAGTCCTGTTCATCTGCTCATCCGCTTACATTATCTACCTAATGCTCAACGATTACAAACCTACCCGAGATCCCAATTTGGACACATTTAAAGTCCAATACCTTCTAGGGATCAGTGCTATCTTGGCCGTCCTATTTCCACATGATTACAGCGTTTCGGAGGTCTGTTACTTTCTCAGACATAAAGAGACCCGAGCTTCCTCTAACGTTTCTCAAGATACTCTGGACCTTTTCCATATGGCTTGAATCCGTCGCTATCCTTCCACAGCTTTTTATGCTCCAGCGCACCGGAGAAGCAGATACTATCACCACACATTACCTCTTTGCCCTGGGACTCTACCGCGCTCTTTATATACCTAATTGGATTTACCGTTACTTCGCAGAGAACCGCTTCCAGCCGATACCCGTCGTTGCAGGTATAGTCCAGACACTCCTGTATTCGGACTTTTTCTACATCTATTACACAAAGTGAGCCAATTGCCATCGCATCATTCTTAACGCTAGGCTAATGGAGAACAGGGTAATGAAAGGGAAAAAATTCTCCCTCCCCGTCTAAGTTGCGACAGGACAGTTCAGGCGGTTGGTGATCTAGCCGATACAGAAGGGTAGAAGCAAGATTTTCCCCCTGATTCCGATGAATGAATCAGTTCATATTACTCTGAACAGATCATGTGTGCCCTACATCATCCTGTATGTCTGTCATTAGAAGCCCTTTGAAAGCATAAGCGTGTTAGATATGTATTGTATACATCATTTTACAAGCCTAACAAGCCTCCTAATTCTTCATTGTTACCTTGCACCTGCTGCCTGTAGGCATCTTTATACATCCTGGTGTCGCGTGAATGACCTCCTTAAATGGAAAACAAACAATTTTCTCGGATATTTCATTCTAAGCCCAGGTACTGTATATGCGGTGCGCATGAGGAGACATGAGACAGACAGGAGCCAGATGCAGTCGCACACTTGCTAGCTTCTTTCTTTCCATCTTATAGATAGACCTTCTCGTGTTAGTAGCATGATTTCATTTATATTAATATCCTTGGTGCATCAGTAGCCGGCCCACGTGGGGTAGACGTCTTTGGGTTCTGGGGCAACAAGACCACTACTTAACAGTATTGGGCATTTATCCTCTTTCACTGGTACTTGGACAGCCATGGAGGATCTGAACACCCTTGTACAATGTAGACACATTAAGAGAATAAAAATGAGCAGATCTTCAGATATTTGAACTATTCTGAAGGGTCTGAATCTCACATAGCGCGAAATCAGCCGCTCCGCAAACCATGTTGAAGACTGCTGGATGATACGATGCTTTGAAGGTTCAAATCCGCATGACTAGAAGCCTCAATGATTCGTCTGCTCATTCGCAGTCGCATATGCCGGGCCATAACTGAGCTGAGACAAGTCACCGCCGTGGAAGGCATCTAATGTCATGGACATAGGACTTGGCAGGTTGGCCACCGATGCTCCGCTCAGCGATCTCACAGAACCTGCAATGAGGCCAGATCGTCCAACTGCGTCATGATAATTAACTGACCAGCCAGCCTGACCATTTGATTGACTCAAATAGTCTGCTTGCGCCCTTTCCAGGGTGGGTTGACCATATAGAATCGACTCTCGCCTAGAAGATGGGGGGGAGGGAAGTCTGTGTGAACGACTCGGAGGCTCAAGTCGAGGGGAACTTCTGCTTGAACTAGGGGGCGTCAATCGTGCACCACCCCGACGAACTCGGCATGTAGGACATATCTTGACGAATCGGGAAATGAGCTCTTTCGGGACCCTTCAAGACTAGTTAGGAGGATCAAGGAGGATAGTAGCTTCATTCCAGGTATGGTAAGAGCTTGAGCAGCGTCCTCAAGCAACAGGGATGAGGATTGCTTACCAGGAATATATCTGCCGAACCTGTGCTGATGTTTTATCCCTACCGCCATGCTGACATTGCTGATGTGCCCTCGTGAGTATTTTGAAGAGCTTTTCTCGAATGGCTACAGGTTTTCCTTCGTGACAGATAATTTTTGCGCACTTTGATCCAAATCACAATATTAGTGCAAAAGGCTCATTGAACTCAACAGGTGAAGTACAAACATTTGAGGATTCAATGCCAACAATTTGAAGTTTGAACATCTTTTTCACCCAGAATCTATTTTCAACAACTTAGCAACCTTTCCCATCATGGGGAGAATGGCAAGCCAGCGCCCAGACTGACACACCCAAGGGCAGGAAACTTGGGACCAGAAGTTTGTGGAGCGGGGAAAAGTACCTGAATTGGGCCGATTCAATGGCAGTATCTTTTGGGTCGATCAGGACAGTCCTGATGTTCCGTGCTCTTCGGGCATGAATCAATGCTTTGTCTTGTTTCTTGACTGATAGATCATCCACATAACTGTTGTACCACGTAAGTGGGTGTACTTCAGAGCATGAATTGAGAGGCCGGAATGAAGCAGCTTACCATCTAATCAATTGATCAAATTCCCTCACGCTAGGAAAACCCTCCAATGGAGGAATAACTGGCTCTGACAGCATAGTGTTCTCATTGAGAGATTCCTGGCTCTCTATTCCTATCTCATTGATTGCTTCACGAAGAGGTAGACACCTCGGCGACCGCAAATATCGCGCTTGCCGTGCACATCGTGCGGGTTGGTACTGCACAACTTCATCTTCTGGGGAGACCGGAATGGAGTGCGTAGATGATAGATTGATGCCGGGAGGTAAGCCGGCCTGAGTGTAGGCGGGTCCAATTTGAGGTGCGTATGAACCGAACGTTTGCTGAGAGAAATGATGTGGTGCCGTGCCATTGCTGCTGAAGTCATGGCTATCCGCATGACTATAAGAGATGGGTAGAGCAATCTGTTGATTCACTAAATAGTTGTCATGACCCTCAGTGATACGCCTACTAAAGCCGCTCATGTCGATGAACTGTTGCGCCTTCGCTGGTTGAACACCGTGTAAGCGTAGCTCGCAGGCGAAGACGGGTAGTGATTATGGACGTATGCCAGGTCTTCCTGATAACTGAAGACATGTCATGACGGAATAACTACACAGGAGGATGTACTGAGGAGAAAAACATAGACATAGAGAGACTCACCCTAGCTGTTGATATCTGGAAGACCTGTTCGTGAAGTGGGTAGATATTCAGGCAAATCGCTCGCATTTATGAACGGGGAAGCACCAAAGAGGGATTGGGGTAGAATTAGTTGGAGCAGAAGAACACCTGGAGGTATTGAATGAGCCCACAACTAAATATATGTCTGAAAGGTTCGAGCCCATCTGTGACCCAGTCCAGTATGACTCGCATGAAGAGAACTGCCATACTAAGTAAGAAGCCATAACAATTGTATTCGGCAACGATGCAAGGTCACCCCTGATGGAGGTTGGAAAGGGAACGAATACAGCTGCTGCAATCCCTGAAGAAAAAAAAAAAGGAAAGGACAGAAGCCAGAATCCTAAACATAAGTGTGCTGAAACGATAGATGCCCTAGGACCAGGTGAGGTCGACGCTTGAGCAGCTATGAGAGTAGGCTACGACCAGCCTGTCAGGTACCATGTATGCAGAAGGGAGGTCCTTTGCAACAAAGCGCAGTGGGCTGCAGCATCAGAAGAACAAATATTCAAGTTAATGGAAATATAAGCAGCAAAAGCACGGCAACAGAGTTGGAGCTGTGAAAAGGACAGGGATCCAATGTTAGACTTTACACAAGATAGAAAGCAAGATAATGATATGAAGAAAGCAGGGGGTATCAGAGGGTGAAGAGGGTCACATTGCCACTTTTGCATAATAAAATAGTCGGCCTGAACTTCTCTATTAGTTCATTGGCTAGCATATGAAATGAGAGGAAGATCGAACAGGGTGATATTGACAGTATTAGGTCTGTAAAGCTTGCTGCTCATGCTTGCAGAATATTAGATAACACTCGGAATGCACCAGGACAGACCTACCAGACTTCTTAGTTGCTGATCCTAGGCAACCATAATGAGATTGCATAGGTACTTGACAATTGACCACTGTCACTCTTAGGGTGGGGAAGGGAGAAGGCTCATCTGAATACCATGTATGGGCAAGTAACCACTGCAGATATTTCTTGAACTTTTGTTTTTCATGGTGTTACAGGAAAGGGCTGCAAGATTTGGTCACTGTCAGCAACCGTCCTGAGATGCTTGTGCCTGTCTCATCTAGATGGATGGGAGATCAAACAATGGCACAATAGGACAAGTCATTCATCTCCAGTGATCAATACTGACGGAGGTTTCATTGCTAGGTTCAGCTCTCGGGCATCTGAGTGTATGCCATAATTGCAGGCTGCAGGGCGCCTAGAGATGCGCAAATGTTTGCGTCGGATCCTGTCGAAACCATTGGACCATATATGTAGGAGTGTCTGGGAACACGAGCCTCGACAAGGCTCTTCTCTGCAGTTGTTGCTGGGGCTCTCTACCCCCAGTACCTATGCTTCCAGGTGCATCCGAAAAGCCGGCTGGCACAAAGGAGATGAACTTTGCCACTTAATAATAAACATCACTCAAGCAGAGGATGGTTGACACATCATCATTGGACGGCACACGACGTGGTGAAAGGTTGCGGTCAAATTTCATGTAACACAGTCTCAAACCTGGCCTTTCCCCCGTTATTTGCTTATCTCCCAAAACCGCTGAAAACCGACAAAAATATGATGGCGAACCCGCACTGATTATGAGCATGGCCAAAACCAAAGACAAGTGCTCAATTTCATCTTGTGTCAGGCTGGATGATAATTATTGGTAATTCATCGAGAATTCTGGCCGATTGGCGGACCCTGGGCAGTGAGGTGGGGATTCGTGAGCAACCTCTATGTATTGCCTGCAATTCCATCAGTAGTAATTCACTTGTTTCATTTCGTTTTCACATTGGGAGTTATATTGCTACCAGTTGGTAAGACCGGACAGAAAGGCCTACGAACAGCCTCATCTGGAGACTGCCCCTGCTCTTGTAGCCATTGGCGAGCTTGGTTCCAAGTCAACCAATATATATATGGATAATTGGCCCCCGTGCTCCGTACCTTAATCCACTATAAACATTGATTGTTATTAACACTAAGCTTGGGGAGGAACGACGTTAGCGACCATCCAATTTGGAGCAAAGCCCTAGTATTGACTAAACAGTCTATACGGAAGCTCCTGTCCTTGCTCGATTGCCTACTAGCAATCATTACAAGATCTCAGGTAATACCTACTAGTGATGAGAGAGGTGAGAAGCAGAGAAACTGACGAGATAGATATGGAGAGATGACGGCCTGAGTAGTAGTGGGAGAATGATGAAAGTTGGTTCAAGTCGACAAACTGGCTACATACATGAGCCTAGACTTCTCTCGTTTTTTTTAATGTTGGCGCGCCGTAAGGAAGAACTGGATTGATGTAATCTCATATCCAAGCTGTAGAATTCTTTCTGCTTGCGTTTTATGCTGTGTGTTTCTATGGGTCGTACACAAATGTTCCTGTTAATTTTTATCATGCTCACTCTTCTTTAATGATGCCTATCTATAGTTACATCGTCCTTGGATTGATCAGCCCAGCCTCTTCTGTTCATCGATACTTTATCTCTGGCTTATTACATATACCATTATTGTATGCACCTATTATGATCTACTGAGCATTGGCCTTACTTATTGGTCCACTTTTTCATCTTCTAGCCATGAAGCCTTGAAAGTTCCGCTTTTTTCCCATGCACGCAGCTATTGTTCTCTACAAGATGCATAGGGATGCTATTGGTTGACTGGCAAGGTGGACTAGAAGCAGCTTGTCGTAGTGGCTCATTCATAGAGAGCGCCGCTATGCTTCAGTCTGTTAAAAAGAACCGAACGTGATATAGGGAGCAAGACGTCCCTACACGGGAGGGATCATCCATACATGAGAAGATGTCCAGGGCCCCAATATACTATTCTCTGCTAGTTATACTCGCGGTCAATGTTATCCCTTATAGCCCTACAGCTCTAGTAATACTATGGATCCCTTGCCCGGGAAAGATTGATGTTGGCAGGTATTAGGTGGGTATGCAGTATTATTGCTATCCAAGGCAGCTCTCAGCACTCGCCTGCGAACATGAGTAACGCTTTACTCAATAACAGATGTCATATCTCCTACAACAACACAGTCCGGCTAGGAATAGCTATAACCTATGGACCTAGATAGCATGAGAATTCAATCACAGTGAATGGGCTATCTCGACTCTATCTCCAACCATCTCACTCGAGTCTAAAAAGATGAAACTTGAACCAAATAATTAAGCCAAGGTTAGCGCTCAACAACCAACTTGGCAGGAAAGAAGTGATGCGTATGCGCAAACATGCCGATACCGGACCAAGCCACAAAAGAAAATCGGGTTATTGGCTACAAATCTGGATAGGATATATTGAGACAAATTATACCTAGGTACACAAAGGTTACAATACAATCGCCGTCGCAGCAAAGTCGCAATTCAGCAGAAACAAGCGAGAGAAACAAGGAAAGGTCAAAGTCATCTCTCGCTGGCCAGTTTCATCAGGGTCAACAAGAATATATCGTAAGCTCATGCAGGAAGTTCATAGCAGCCGAACCAGAGTGAACACCCATCCAAATAAAAGCATCGTCCCAGTCGAGTCCTCAACTGATCAATACCTCGACGCTCCATTCAACCAAAGGAACAGCAACAATAAGAACAGACCTCCACCAGGATGCTATCCTGGGTATGGCAACATTTCCCGATTAATAGTTATGCCCTCCGAGAGACGAAGTATGTTGAATATGTTCACATGCGGCGGACTTTTGAGTTTGATGAGAACCATTCAAACCAACTATATCTCGGATAGCCCACCTCCAACAGTTTCCATGTCTATCACGTTCGGATTGAACCCATTTTTCGACCTTTCGCCTCCACTTCTCTTCCTCGACACGTTGGCGTCTCACGAATTCTGGGCCAACATCAAACTCCTCTGTCATGGGCCACTCGTCTGATGAGTCGCCGCAACTCGGCTCATCACCACTCACAGTACGATCGAGAACATCGTAGCTACCAGAACCTGGGCCACCTGGAGGTTTTCTCTGACTTTTTTCTTCGAGGTCATCAAGTCCGGCGAAGACATCGTCTTCAACCTGCACTGCCACCATCCCCTGTGCGCCCGGCTGAGATGATGCCAACTTCAGCCAGCACATGCGTCGTGGGTCGAATACCATCCCGCCAACAACCTGCACATTCTGCATCGCACTCACATTGGTGATCAACGCAGGTGCCGGCTTGGGGGACTTTGGGGATCTTAGAGACTCAAACCCAATAACGGAAGTCTCGTTTCCCTCCCATTTGAAAGAGTCCGGATTGTAATGCATACCGTTCACGTCTAGAAAATTGTCAACTCTAAAACAATTCAAATGTAGGGGGGACAACACGTACACTTCGGTTCCTGGGAGCCCTTCCCTATTGACTTGATCAGGAAGGGCTTACTACCGGACGCTGCGACACCTCTAGTTTTTCTGCCAAGCGTCGCCAGGTTCGAAGGAACATGAGCGATATTAGGATTTCTCCAGTTCGAGCTGAGAGGGCCAAGTGGATTGCTCTCAGGACCTTTCAGGTTGAATGTCATCGACGCGATACGTTGTTCTCTTGCATTTCTTGAGGCGTTTGTATCCCGTGCAAACCGAGGAGTAAGGTCGTATGATGTAGGGACAGTACATGGAGTCGACGGTGGTTTCAGAACTTCTGTTCGTGAGGGACGAGTCTGATTATGACCGAGTCTGCCGCGAAGGGACCTCGGGACACCGCCCCCAATTGGGTGCTTGATGAACTTGCTCTCTGCAAAGGAGGACGTAGGTAAATCGTCAAATGATTCCAGCTCAGTCCCATCGCCGAAGTTACGCCTCCGCGTAGGTCTAGTGATAGTCTGCTTCGCAGCTATGATCAAATTTTTACACTGAGATTCATCAGTAATGCTGTTCGAAATCGAATGTCGACCTGATCGAGAATATCGAGATACAGGGACTCGTGAGCTAAGGATTTCGCCGGAACCATCGGAATTTGTCCGACGAAAGTATCGAGGACCCTTTACGTTGACGTGATGAGATTGAGCTTCGGAAGCCCCAGCTGGAATAAATGGCGTTTGGGCCTTGCGGCTCAAATGTTTTGAGCCGCTTCCTGTGCGTTCCACTGGCGTCCTTGCTCGAACGTGAGAAATGGAAGGACGCGCTGATTCATCTCCGCGAGAAAGAGAACCCTGTGAGTATGACACCTGCGCAGATTGCGGTACACTTCGAATAGTCGGCATGGATCGTTTGTTCCTGACGGACTGTGTGCCGCTAGGGGCGCGGTCGCTGCTTAATGGGGTCTTGGGAGATCGAGAAGTCACAGATCGCCGGCCGGGAGTCGAAGGCGTCGGAGATGTCGATATTGGTCTTGAAGGCAGGCTAGAGACAGAGGCATGGGCTACATGGCCCCTCGCCCAAGATCGCAAGCCCGGAAACTTTGACAGCGGAGCTCCACTTTCTGAAACAGTCTCGAGATGTGTTGAATGACGGTCATGACCCAAGAGACGCGGAATCCGAGTCCTGGGAGAAACCGCAGTATTTGTGAATGTGATGGAGGTTGTTGAACGGCGGGCCGGACTGCTGGGACGCTCAACCTTGTATTTTACGTTTGGGTTGAGGGAAAGCTTCTTCAAATCGAAAGCATCGCCGCTTTCGATTTCGAGACCCGCGAAAAAATCATCCGAGCTAGTCAGCTCATATTCGGCCTGGCCGGATGATGAGTACCGCGGTTTATCAGTAGAGCCGGTATCCTGGCGCTGCTTCAACATTGATTCCAGGTCCAGAGGACCCTCGGGAATTACAAGCCCATCAAGCCCTTCATCCTCGCTCTCGCCTGTCCGGCAACTGGAGGCACTAGGACTAACAACCGAGACTGCAGAGCTTGGAATTGAACGGTGGTCTCTCTTTGTGCCACCGAAACGAATCCCTATACTACCTTCGGACCAATCCAGGTCGAAGTCGTCTGCAGCAGGGCTAGTGGCCTCCGTACCGTCTTTGCGAAGAGAAAGGTGAAGAGGAAAATCATCTGCTGGTAATTCGAAGTCATCCTCAACATTTTCGACCGGCGCATCAAACCTTGTTACGCTTTGCTCGGCAACTAATCTGGTCGATTTTGGTGATCGAGGCTTCGCAACTTTGATGGTAGGGACATTGTCGATATCCGCCAAGCTGTGATTGCTGTCATCCGCAAATTGGCTTAGATCTGTCAAGGCTGACTGCAAGCGCGTCGAAAGATCATCTTCCCATAAAGGAGAAGGAGTTCTTTTCACCGGACTGTTTGTGGCTGAACTGAGCTGCCTGGGGGTCTCCGGGAAGACTGTCTCCTTAAATTTTTTGAGCTCGAGCACAGCATCAGAACCTGGAAGCTCAACATCGTCAGACCAATCGTCGATAAAGTTCTTCCTCGGTTTTCTTCGCCCAAGTCGCTTGATCGTTCCCCCGATGAGAGCCGATTTGGGAACGTTGACTGGTAAGGGAAACCCTGCATTCTTGGCAGATGCAATGGCTTCTTCGCTCAAAACTTCGTCGTCATCAGGAAGTTGAACCTGCAAATCCTCATCTTCTGCCGCGATCGAGTCCAGGTCAGAGCGAGCAGACCGACGGGATGATATAGAGTCTCGATGACCCGATCGACGAGTGGATACATTCGTTACGGATGTAGCAGTTGACGCCGTACGGATATGGATGTCTTCGTAACCGTGCAGATCCCCATCGTCGTCCCAACACTCGATCGTCTCTTCGTCCCCATGTGGGACCTGACGGGTCGATGACTCCATGTTACGGACAGCTTATCGAAGAATCGGTGGCGACAGAAGAGAATATCATGTAGATTCAAGTTGGACCAACTTAGGACAGGCGATTCCAGGGAGCTGGCTCAGAAATCTCCCTCGCTAACACAGAGTCGAAAGCCAATTGGGGCATCATCCCGTTGTCCCTCGGTGGAAGTGCAGTATTCCCAACGCAGAGCGTCAAAGGCTATCTCAAACCAGATGACAGTGCTGGGGATCTTCCAGGTGGGTCTTACGCTGCAGATTCAGGTTGAACTTAGACTCAGGGAGTCAATGAGCACGTCACGGAGATCAATGCAATCAAATGCTCCGGAAGACACCAGGAATAAAGAAGATCCAGGCCTGTAGTATGCTGGTAATAGAACCGGTCGAGGGTTCGGAGGCACGAAGATCGCGGCGAAGTACGATTTAATTCAAGTGAAAATGGTTCAAAACCTTCGATGTATGAGGTCGCAAGGTCACTAAGGTGGGTGGCGGGAAGGATTCCTCCCGGAGGGTGGAGGGGACGTGTTTTTAGGGGCCGGGACGACCAAGGGGGAGAATAATACGATAGAAGTTCTTGAAGTATGTGACTGGGGATACTTAATCTCGCTCTCTGTTTCCCCACCCCCTCAACCTTATCTTTTTGAATACAAATACTAATATTTCCTGTCATCTATTCGTCAGAGAAGATTCTATTGAAAAGAAAGCATTCGCTGAGAGGAAAGTTTAAGAAAGCTCTTCAGATGAGGGGATGAATACCCATGGCACCTCTCTCACTTGCCATTAACTTGTCTTGCTATGGAGTACTGGCTACCCAAATAGAACAGTGTGCTCATCAAAACTCTCTATTAGTTCAGCAATAATACTAACTTCTATCATACTGGCGGTATGGATACTTTTTCAGCCCTCAGACCACCTAGGATGTGTGTCCAGGCAGCGTCAATGTAATATCCAGCTTAAAAGGCGATGTCGTTCTCCAAATAATAGCCTGAGTCACAGGCAATGGAATGTAAAGAGCCGAAAGGCGAGTGCTCAAATTGTAGCAAAATTTTGACTAGCAATTATGCATAAGTATCTGTATCATTGCGCCCAACCTTACGGAGGTGGTCGAATTTACACATCAGGTGTGTTTGTAATGCCTGAGAACATTCGAGCTTGGCCTTGATTTGGGCGCTCGCATGATTGATTGGCTCATCCACAGCCGTTGATCTCGAGCAAATAACTTATGTAAAGAGAGGTACTATTGGGAGACTCTTGTACTTGGGTATACAAGTCCACCTGCTGGAGGTACCTATTTGGACCCTGGCAACTAGCATCAACTCTTGGAAAGTTCGGCCGGACAACTTCGTGGGCGGCATGCTTGGCTGTCGATCATTCATGGTTTTGTTCGATCTTCACCAACATGAGGCTCTTCGCGGAACGGGTAGATTTCCAACCTTGGGTGACGTTGATGCCTAGCTGGCTTGCCATTCTCGTGGAAACAAGAATGAACAGGCAGCAATAATGGCTCCATTTGATGAAAGACACACAGTTTTTGGGAAATAAGCGGTTCTCTGACGTCTGATCGCAGAGCTGGTTTGCACGCGTCGGCCATTAACATTAACCACAGCCATTAACCACAGCGAGCAACACTCAGCACACTCTATCATTATGCCCTCCAACACACTCGACCTCTCTCAGAGGATCCTCCGCATTTCCAGGAGTGATGATACCCAAGGTTACGTGCTCCTCCAGGTCTCCCCCACCAGCTTTAATGCCCTGGATCTGGATATTGCCGCGACGGAGGGGGAGAACCCCTATACTGGCACTGGTATGTTCTGATTGAATCATTCTCTGCGTGATCAGTTCATATATCACATCATCGTTTCCTTTCTGCTCTGAACAAATTTCTAAGGCAAGTGACACAGTGCGACAAACCCACCTGAAAACTCTCCGCGCGAAGAACTACCGAGGTAGCGACGACGAATGGGTTCAAATCGTGTCATATGTTTTTGGTCAGCTCAAAGAATCCGTCCCAAAGTCCGAAATACTCTCTGGAATTGAATCTTCGGCGAGTATCATCGAATCGGGCGACGTTAGTAGGGAGCTAGTTATCACGATACGCAAACGAGTCCAATCCATTACAGTAGGCTCCCGTCATGAGCAATCTTTTCCCGTACCAATCTAATTTCAGACAGCAAAGGCTGGGTTCTGTGACCCTAAGACAGGATGATGAACAGGCAATTCAACTATTCGATTGGTCGGGTGCGGCTGTTGCAAGGGCAGATGCTCTCGCGGAACGTCTTTCCACTTTAACAGATCGTTACCACGCCGCCGAAAACGCTATCCAACGACTCAACCAGCAGTTGGAGGAATTCATGAGCGCCAAGACCCAGCACGATGAGTTACTGATGGCCAATTTCGTGCAACTGTTGAATGAGAAGAAGCTCAAGATTCGCAATCAACAACGCCTCTTGGCTTCTGCAAAGGTAGACCCTGAAAAAGGTATGATTTCGTTGTGGCAATTGCATTGAATATATAGCATTATTGACTCATGGCATTCAATAAAGCATCAGAGATTCGGTCAGCAATCCCGGGCACACATCCTCTCTCTGGCCCGTCCAATTCCAAAACAAAGCGATCCGCTCAAGAGATGTTAGACAGTGAATCCGATAGTGAGGACGGATTTGAGAGCATGGAAGTCGATCACAATGGGCAAAACGATGGTCGCTCAGACGACCAGGAAACGGAAGATGAAGAAACTTCTACGCCCCAGCCCCTTGAAGATGACGAAAACACCAACACAGGTGAAGCACTTCCGTCACCATCAATAGAAAACGAGCGCGAAGACAACAAGCAGGCATCAGGCGAAACACCTCAAAACAACACTATATTAACAAATTCAGCCGTCCCACCACCCCGAAGAGAGCTTCCGTTTGTTAAGAAGCCACAGGTGAATCATATGCCACCAAGATCAAATGAATCCGTCGCTGCAGGGGAGGATGCTGAAGCAACGGCGGGGGAAACTGATGATGATGAGTTGTAATTTGCGGCGAGCGCTGCGGATCAGAACTTCCTAGATCTCGAAGTTTCAATTACCGACGCATAACATCTTTTCCTCTCTGGGGCATGTTCAACACTACGTATGACTACTATATCACTTCAATTAGAGCGAATAAAGCGAGATAACACTCCAGGGGCTTATTCAGAAGAGCTGCGACGTCCAAATTTTACACCCTCCTTTGAGCCAGGAGAACGGACCATATTACTGATGGAAGGGTCCACATTGAATAGCTTCTTTTGACTCGAAAGACGGTCATTTTCTCCACATCATATGTACATATTCACCTCCCCAGATCAGTTTTGAGGATGACAGACAACGATTCGGAGATACACTGCCCATGTAAAATGGAAAATAATCGATAACTATGGGGAAACAAAAAAGGAGGCAAAACAATACTTAGGTGGTACAATGAAAACGCCTGATCCAACAGACAAAGGAGAACAGACTGAAATGGCCGCAATACGAGCCTGCATGTCCTAGCCGTACAGAGCCTGGGGAGACATTTCACCAGCAGCCATAAAGTTCGTCTCTGGATTTCCAGTGGCCTTAGCTGCTGAACAGCGGGCCATGGTCGGGGAACTAGATTCTCGATTAGCGCTGGACATGACGCAGATTTGAAAAATAAACTGACCTCCGAGCAATGGAATTAGTAAAATAGAAGTCCTCGATAACCTTCCTGAAAGGTGTACCAGTTGGCTGAACGCCCTTGTTCTGGTCAACCAGTTGTACTTTGCTCAGTGAGCTCAGGGAAGTTGGCTCAACGACATCGTACCGGCGCATGACAGGACTGATCTCCTCCATGCGATCGCGGAGTGCCTCAATGTCGTCATAGGGAAGCGGTTTGTTGAGGAATTCACTGGCAGCACGGATAATCTTCCAGTCGTCACGTGCCGCACCAGGCAAGGAGGTGGCCGCCCGAGTGACTTGGACACGTCCTTCAGTGTTAATATATGTGCCCGACTTCTCGGTATATGCTGCACCAGGGAGAACGACGTCGGCCAATTGAGCACCACGATCACCGTGGTGGCCCTGATAAATGACGAACGCATCGCTCGGAATTTCGCTTTGGCTAACTTCATCTGCGCCTAAGAGCCAGATCATTTTCGGCTTGGTCTGCGCTACTTCTGAAGATGGCGTAGTGAAACCGACTTCATAGGCACCGGCACGGGATGCAGCACGTTGAAGAACGTTGTAGCCTTGCCATTCAGGGGTGTTGAAGTTGATTCGATGTTTTTCAACGAAGCTGCCAACAGTTTCGAAGACGGCCTTCGCATCCTGATGTTCAGCTGCAGCGCTTCCGACAATGATCATCGGCCGCTTAGCAGAAGCAAGTTTCTCGCCGAATTTTCCAGACAAAGCGGCCTTCAACGAAGAGGTGTCTGAGCCAAGGTGTTCGTATTCAAAAGTGCTTTCAAACTCCTCTCCAACCAATCCAATTTCGAGGTCTGATCGAAGATACTGCTTGCGTATGCGCGCATTGAGAACTGCTGCTTCATGGCGAGGATTCGTAGCCACCAGAAGGATGACATCGGCTTCCTCAATGCCGTAGATTTTGGAATTGAAGAGGTAGTTTGAGCGTATATCAATTCCATGGGCAATGGGAGAGTCGCCTCTAGGCTGATCCAGAGCTAGGTTATCGGATCCAAGCTTGTTAGCTAAGTCTTTCATCGCCACAAGCGACTCGGCATCTACTAGATGCCCTGCGACGGCCTTGAATTCATTCTCCTTCAGCTGCAGTTTCTGCTGAGCGCTAGATATCTCAGTTAAGGCTTGCTCCCAGGTTGCAGGAACGAATTTTCCGTCTCTCCGAATCAATGGCGTCGTCAGTCTCTGGGTCTTCAAACCATCACATGCAAACCGAGATTTATCGTCGATCCATTCTTCATTGATGTCGTCATTCAGTCTCGGAAGCACTCGCATGACTTCCATGCCTCTAGTATCTATCCGGACATTGGAGCCCATAGCATCGTGAACATCAATAGACTCGGTGTGCTTCAGTTCCCATGGACGAGCACGGAAAGCATAGGGTTTCGATGTTAGAGCACCAACAGGGCAAAGGTCAATTATATTCCCGGAGAGCTCGGAGTCGAGGTTCTTCTCCAGGTAAGTCCCAATCTGCATATCGTTACCTCTACCGGTAGTTCCGAGTTCCGGTGCACCAGCTACATCATTCATGAACCGAACGCAGCGAGTGCAGTGTATACACCGGTTCATGGATGTCTTGACGAGAGGTCCGATATTCTTATCTTCAACGGCACGCTTTCCGCCAACCTCGTGGAACCGACCGCGGTCAGCTCCGTAGCGCATTGACTGGTCCTGAAGATCACATTCACCTCCCTGGTCGCAGATAGGACAATCAAGAGGATGATTAGCCAGTAGAAATTCCATAACACCCTCCCTGGCTTTATGCACGAGCGGCGAGTCTGTTTTGACATTCATTCCGGGCTGCACAGGCCAAGCACAGGATGCCACTGGTTTGGGAGCACGCTCAACTTCAACGAGACACATACGACCTAGGAACTTAGAGTTAACTCAATCAATTGAAATAAGCCTTTGATGAGGAGACACACAATTTCCCGCAATCATTAGTTTTCTGTTTATGGTGTTAGCAAGCTGATTAACTAAAATGCGCGAGGAAGCCATACTCATGATAGCAGTATCTGTAGCAAATTCGTCAGTCACACTGGCCAATTCGTAACTGCTCAATCATTCATACCTCGGAACTGTCACGCCTGCCTTTTCACAAGCCTGAATGAGGGCCGAGCCAGCTATAATTCGGTGTCAGCAGGGATACTAGCACCGGGCCATAGGAAATTCGAGCGGACCTTCTACTGAAACCTTTTTGCCATCTGGTTCACAAATGTCAGCGCAAAGATACTCGTCAATTCAGACTACCCGGTCTATCCCACCGATTGTGAGTTCCACCTCAGCAGAGCGAGGGGTTGTCGTCGCGAAGGTCCTGTGCTTGTTCAATTTAGGGACCCGGAAGGACCGGGCGGCCGCACGAAACAACTGCGGCCGCATAGTGAGATTGAAATCAAATGGCTTGAGAAGGAAAAGATAGAAGAACCCGGGATGACGGAGAAGGAGAGAAGGGTGGTAGAAGCGCAGCGTTGGCAGAGGTTGTTCTTGTTAGGACCACTTTTGGCGTGCTCCCTCGGATTCTGGCAGACGCTGGTTCGAACATTACCTACTCGCAAATTGCCGCCTGCGGATTGGTTCGGATGCACGGAGCCTCGTTATTCCGAATCCCAGCTTTTTAAAAGACTTCCGCCGAACTCAGGGTCATCTCCTTCTTTTAATCAAAAAACTCATTCACGGGCGTGATTTATTGTAGGAGGCAGGACATCGACAATACCTATCTCCTCTGCTACATGACCCAAGACCAGAGGCACTGAGCTGGAGCTGCTTAGGGTTACCGCCGCCATAATGGTGGCACTGCCTCATGATGGCATAGTTCCTTACCGACAGTTGCTACATAATTTTGTCCAAAATTTTGACCAATATATTTTACGGCTATCGGCTGACACAAGATTATCTTCCTTTTCTGCTTCTCTTATTAATATCGGTGCAAAATCGAGCGGCATCTAGGCTAAAGAGCTCATCTGATACTGATCAAGCATTGTTTAGTAAAGTATCTAGTTTCTTTAATGTGATTGCAAGCGAACTTCTCGAAAAGTTCAGACCCTCAGGTCGGATTATGTGCAATCAAAAACTACACATCGATGAAAAAACAAAAACATATCCATGATCTATAATGTACATTTCGCATGCTACTACGCGTCGCCTGATTGCCAAGTTGACTCTTGTTTTGTACCAGGTGGTAGCCATGTCCTGGACGTGCTACTTCCCCTCGGCCGAACATGATCGAATGCGCCGTCTTCTTTTTTCGAGTTCGCTGCCAAAGCAGCAGAGCTGTCCATAAAGTGAGTTTCACCGGTTCTCGAAGGCGGAAAGGCGTAGCCATTCGAATCCCACGTTCTCTTTGTTTGAACACTTAAGGGAAGAATGGTTTCTTTGGTGCGAAAATGATCGGCGTTTGCTCTTCGGTCTGCCACATCGTCATGACTATTGCGATCATAGAGATACAGCCCAACGAAGGTGAGTGCGATACCGAAAGCTTGTAAACTAGTTGTGGAGCTGCCAAACCATACGATCGCAACGACGATGACGAAGACTCTCTTGACCAGAGAAGCAACGGAATAAGACACTGGGGATATCATTGATAGCAGAACAAACGCCAGAATATTTTGCGCAAAGTGTGAGATCCCGTTGAATACGAATTCCACGAAGAGCGCACCGTGATCCAAAGAGTTGTCTTTCTCTGCTAAAGAGATGGCACCATCTTGCATGAGATCTGAGATCAATCGATAACCTTCGCTGATAAACCAAATTGGCAACGTGAGGATGAAGGCGAGGCCGGAGCAATAACAGAGGAGATTTAGTTTGTCCAACTTCTTTCGACCGCTTGCCTGAGGTTCCGACTCTGCGCGGGAAGCTTCGTTGAACAGCTTTTTAGAAAAGATATTTTGAGAGACGAAAACCAATGCCGCTAGTAATGCGCAAAGGATGCCAAAGAAATTTGTCGAAAACCCAGTAGAACAGGCGAGCATGACACCTAGGGTCAACGGAACAAGAGATAGATAAGTGGCTTTGGCATATCGAATGCGAAAGAACACTCGATATGCTAAAACGGTAAAAAGGGCGAGAGGCCTTTGATGGTGTGTACCAGTGATACTGGTATCTGAGAAGTAGCCATTGAGCTGAGTATATGTCCAGCCAATTGAAAAATTGCCAAGGGCAAGGCTGTTACGATAACATCGCGGGATGGGTAGCGTATGCCATTCCTGAGAGCCGGAACATTGTTCTTTAGCCAGGGGAAGATCGCCGACAGATATGCCAACAATAGACACCATATTGAGACAAATGCAAACTGTACGACCGTGAGAGTAATCGGTTTGGGAAGAGCATTCAAAATGGATTTGGAAGAAGTGTTCGTAGTAGCAGAGGTCATATACCATATAAGGCAAAGTATCTCGACAAAAATTAGTTTCAGAATAGAGAAAGAGCGAGAGCATATGAGCTTACTATTAATCGATACGAGACCGGCGCTCGCAGCGCTTGAGCCAATTCCTGAGCATTGGCACTAACGCTGGCGTTGCGTGTTCTAATCGTGGTAATTGCTTCACTAATGCTTTTTCTCGACTTGTGTTTCGGAGGTCGGATTGGTGCTTTGGTATAGTCTCGAGGCAGATAGCCTGCCTTTCGCGGCTGCCAATGATCACTCAGCTCATGTTTTGATGTGGGATTCGACTTGGGCTCTCCCGACTCTGTTGTCTTTTGGTAGAGGCCCTCGTCAAATGGTGGAAATTGATCTATCGGGCTCGTCACCGACTGAGAATTGGGTGCTTTTGCTGGCTGTTGAATTTCTGGCTGTCGTATGGATGAGCGCCTTCCGATGCCGGTCACCGTAGTCGTAGTCATGTTTCACATTCAAATCCTGCGATTACTTGGGTAGGTATCTTAAGCACTGTGTGGTAGGCATATTTTAGTTATAGACTTCTCGAACAGAAAATAAAAAAAGAACCATTGCGGCTGAAATACGATACCTTATGACGGTTGCTAATGGGTCAAGGAACAGATTGCAGCTCCTGGATTTATGTTGTTCTGTTCTGGAAGAAATTCCCCTTCTTCAAGTCATTTATCAGCAGGACCAGATCCATAGAATCAAAAGTGAGAAGATGCGTGGTTAAAAGGCTTTAGTTCTCGACGCCCAGAAGATGCTACCTATATCTTGGTAGATACCTCATTAGTGAGTCGTTTGCGGTCTTCCCGCTGGGGTGACGAAGTCTCACGAATTCGGCAGAAGGTAGCGAATGAACATTGAGGATCAGGGCCACGCAACAAACCACATGCCAAGAAAACCGGGGCGTCCTGGTGGTCATGTTGGTACCCTGTCATATTCCATAAAGACTAAAGGTACCCCTCTACCTACCTGTCTCTCTACACAATAGACTGGATATTTCACAAATTGAATTACCAATTTTTGCTGTTCCGAGTAGCATTTTTCTAACCCCTATCGACCGCTAGTAATATACATATGGTCATCCTACGTATGGTCATCCTCCGGTCATATTGCTCATCTCATATGAGTATCACTTAATGACACCAACCCAGCGTAAAAGGTTTTCTGATAGTCATGGCAATTACATTTATTGCCTTAGATGATGTCCGGTGGTACATAATGAACTCCGTGTCTAGGAGGTAATAGTGATCTCTAGACACAGAAAGGCAAACCAGCAAGGGCAACTACATCAAGACGCGATAGTAGTACCTTAGTATCTACTACGTCAGTTATGTGCCAGAATGGAAACTACTAGGCGAATCGTCTTCAGATTTGTCTATTTCGCATAGTACATGTAGTCTGACTATCTGGGTGCTGTAGTCTGCAAAGAAATGTCACGTGGCTGGGTGCTTTTTCTAGCTACAGGCGGTAGCTGCACGTTGCTTTGATACTCAAAAACGACGTCGTGTTCAGTCTCAGATCAAGTACCATCGCAACTTGAAGCCTATGAGATATCAACTCGACTAGCCTACCTGAATGTCTTTATAATGAAAACCCTTGGCGCCGATGCTGCTAGTATTTATGAATACCATCCTGTGATAACACGTCGGAGTTGTCTGGCCACTCTTATTGCGATATGGCTTTATTCTGGAATCACTGTATGCAGCGGTCTGCTCGTAGAGAATGATTCACCTCAGCCCCTACTTGCGCAAAATCTCGCAAGCATTTCATTTTCAGATGAATGGCAGCTACTTGGCCCTTTCCAATGTGGTACCAGAGGTTCGTGCCGCTTTCAAGCGCCCTTAGCTGAGAGCCAGCCACAAACAAGGAGAAAGTTGCGAGCTGATTTGACTGCAATCTCCCAGAGGCTGTCTGGGGTGCCGATCCCTTGGAATCTCATGGCGGTTTTCATAACCTTTCTTTTGATGCAAATGCAAGCTTCAACAGCGCGCTAGCAGTCAATGGGAGCGTCAAATGGAAAACTGCCCGAGCTCTCACACACAACTTTGCTCCAGGGAAAGCTAGAACGGAGCTCCATGTTAGCTTTCCAGAAATAGACTGGAAGTTCACGCAAGCTGTCTATGGATGGTCTGCTCTACAATATCAGGCCTGGGCGCGCGGATCATTGAATATTGGCCATTGGGCCCCTCAGTCTGTGGCAATATTCACAAGCGGGCTCCTTGAGATTGTGATTGATGGCAAGCGGCATTTCGGAGGAGATTTTTATCACTATGGCACAGTACCCATCATTACTGATTTAAGTACAGGTGACCATGTGGTTGAACTGCGGCTTATTCGCGATGTTCGAGCTTCGGGCGCGATAGGAGAGCCCACGATCGTAGTGTCGCTTGCCGCGGAAATCCGTAACGAACCTCTTAGTGTCGATAAAGAAAGTCTGCTGCTGCCAGACATGTGCCGTGGCAAGCTCGGTACACCTTGGGCATCAATTAACCTACATAATAACATGGCGGATCGGATCGCGGTTCTTGCCATCAGCTCAATTGGTGTTGGTGTCAATTCTCTGCCTCTTTGAAAGATACGAAAGAAGAGTGACACGTACTTAGGGCTGCCGGCATAAGCTGGTGATGAATGAGCCACTAGACTTGCTTGGATATCAAGCACGACCTCTCGTGTTCCGGATCTACCTTGGTGATTCGTCCCAAAAGGAGTTACCCGCTGAAATATTGTATAAAATACACCGCGGGAATGATGAGATCTTCCAAACTTACCCACTCCGTTTGAGACTCACTGAAAAATCAGTATCCCAGGCCCAGAAGCTTACATACTTTTATGCAGGCATAGTCTCTTATGCCATCCTGCGCCCTCCCCCGGTGACATGTGCACCTGCTATTCCCGAGGGAGATGGCGCCTTGCCTGTCATTGTTGGCTTGCATGGTGCAGGTGTCGAGGCAGACAGTGTACAAGTTCGTGAGATGTTGGATGCCGCGTATGGTACTTGCGCGTGGATATTATCTCCCAGCGGGGTTACTCCTTGGAGCGGCGATGATTGGCGTGAGTTCGTCGTGTTCCTTATCTTGAACCCCCTATGTCGTCCTAGAACATCATGTTCCGCATTGCATGGGTCCGCTGCCTTCCCAGCCTATGCATTCCATTCTCACGATCATATGGACACTCTTCTTTCCACGTCTTAGGTGGCATGAAAGAGGTTGCAATTACTAAGGAAGAGGCTACCTGACTGGCTATAGATACTTGGGGTGCTGGAGACGTCGAAGCTGCTGTGAACGCAATTCCACGTTGGATTGACAGTACTGGCTGGGATATGGTGCGCGTATCACAGGAAGAATGGATAGTCGTCGGACATTCAAATGGAGGTATGATCTGTCAAATAACCAATCTCTCAGCTCGCTAAACTCTTGTAGGGCAAGGGGCGTGGTTTTTGGCCACCCATTATCCTGACAAAGTAATCGCCGCAGCACCAGTGTCGGGCTACTCATCCATTGAGAGTATGTCGAGAACATCAGTTTCGACGGTTGAGAGTGCTAATACAGGTAGATTACGTACCTTACAACATGTGGCGGGATTCCGAGCCTCTGCTCTCATTCGTGCTCTCGAGGTCACGGTCAAGCTTTAAACATGAGTTGCTGCTAAGCAACGTTGCGGGTATCCCGATATTACAACAGCACGGCTCAATTGATGACAATGTCCCTGCGTTTCATTCGCGCTTAATGCATGAATTACTTGGACAGACCCAGTGGCCATCACAATATGATGAATTGCAAGGCCAGAATCACTGGTTCGATGGCGTATTGACCACCCCATCCCTTCTGGCATTCTACAATGAAACTGCCACCTTTCCTCGTCGACGCAGGCTTCCTTTGGCATTCACCATCACTGTTCCGTCCTCAGCAAATATTGCGAAAGGTGGGATCTATGTCGATCAATTGCGATCTCCTGATAGGAACGGAGTAGTGCAGGTCACTAGAGATGCGTATAGCGGTATCTGGTACCTAAATACGACCAATATACATCGCTTCCACCTTTCGCCAAGGGACTTGAGTTTCACAATGCCCTCTGCGCTAGTCTTGGACGGCAGAGACCGTTTTGAAGTGGGTTACATCCGGCCAGAACGCATGTGGTTTCTGAGAGATTCTCGAGGAAGGTGGACTGTCTCAGAGAGAGAGGATTGGCGCCAATTGAATGAGCGGTATGGTCGTCAGCTCGGAGCTATGGATGCCGTCCTGCGCACCAAGGGCACCTTCAACATCGACATATGCTCAGCTGGGATTGAGCACATAGCTGTGCAAATCAGTCGTAATCTTCTACAATATTTCGCTGCAGATTCCCAACTATCACGGCAATGCGGTTCCCTAATTAACTCCGACAGAAATCAGGACCGAGTTGTTGATAGCGGGAATGTTATCACACTCGCCCTGGGCACCGAACTACCTTCATCGAAACATATATCATTTCCGATTCGCATACAGGGCCAAGGTCTCAGTCTCTTCCAGGGCTGTTGCTGGCCTCGGGCAGACACAGAGGCAAGCCCCAGTCCAGCATGAACCGAGAGTGTAAGGTATATGAATTCCCCTTCGAGCGAGGCATGGGCGCCCTCTTCCTCCGCCCTTTGGAGAATGAGAGACTCGAGCTTGTTGTATGGGGAGCAGACTTGTCTGGTCTCGAGCAAGCTGCACGTCTTGTACCTACCCTTACAGGTGTTGGGCAACCAGATTTTCTCATTCTTGGCGATAGTTGCCGTTGGCAGGGACACGCTGGAGCATACGCAGCTGGTTTTCTCGATAGATCTTGGCAGATATTGTCCGGGTCTTATATTCGCGTAGATGCCAGCGTGAATGAGCAAAGTTTAAAATGCGGTGCTTGATCAGCCTGCGATCCTGGCGATATTGAGGCAACTCAAGCGTGGTTATGAGGATAGACATGTCAATCCGGAAAGGTAAGACCTGATATCAAATCTGTTCTATCTTCAGTACTATGTAATGTCAGAACACTGAAGGTCTTCCCCCTCAATCTAAATGTGGGTTGAAACCATGATATTCCGCGTCACGTTCGGCTCAACGTAATTCATACTAGGCTTACCTTCTCTTTCTTGTTGGGATTTTGAACATGGCTCTAAGTGTGGCGTCGTCACCTTGGGGTCCTTCTACTTCAGGTACACTACTGCAGCACACTTCATTGCAAGAGTGATCCCTTCTCTTGATTTTCCTCCTGCCTATTCTTCGTTCTCTGTTCTTTTTGCTCATTATCTGGTATCTTCTATTACCAGCGCTCCTTCCTCATCACGGCACTGTCTTGAGCCTATTTTGCATCAGGCATCTTACCTTTCCGTGGTCTAATGTCGAAAGAATCCGTCCTTTCTCTCACGTAGAGACTCGCATCTGTCATCTTTCATCCCTTTTCTTCCACAATAAAACATATTTCTCGGCTTAACACCGACAATTTGCTCTCTGCCAGCTTGCCTTTACATCTGGAATACTCATACATTGCCAGGTGTGTTTGCCTTTTTGAGTACTTTTCTACAATTGCTTCTTGTCTCCTTCAGAAAGTCGCCTCAAAGACTGGTCGAACCAGCGAAGACTTAAGTACGCCTAGCAGTTGAGGCCGGCAAGATGTCCATGCTTTCAACTGGGTCCCCTAGAACGGATCGCCGACCATCGCGAACAGAAGCCCTTTCAGGCAATCAGATAGTTGAAGCACAGTTTATACAATTTGGATCTGAAACATCGGTAAATTGAAGAACTCCTAGCTTTGAAAAGTTATATTTTCCTTGAATCAACCATAGTCTAACGCATTTGAATGATATTCACAGGGACGCAAGCAATCTAGCACTCCAAGCAGCACACCAGACCCTCTGGTGTCTTCCAAACTCGGAAATTTCCAGCCTACTGCTGGTGAAGTCGTCGATGTATCATCCAATAAGGTCAGCACTCCTCTTCCAGGTCCTTTAATATCCATTGTCTCACAAACCTAGAAGCAGAAGCTGGAGCATTTGTCCACTGCTGCCTACCCAAGCAGAAGTTCCGAGATGGAAAAGCTATTGGCCAAACTTTCTCCCAAGCCTCAATCCTCTCCTTTCAAGCCTGTTGAGAATCGAGAGATACTCACGAAGCTGTCCGAGCAACAAGCCTTGCTTGAGCAACAGAACCATCTCCTGAGAAGCAACAGTGCTTCGATCGAGGATCATGTTGATCGCGACAAGAATTCTGCAGTGAAGCCACTCACTTCGACATTGGAAATATCGCATGCCACCGAGCCCATAGATAATGCTTGCTTTGCCCCCACGAGTACTGAGACGTCTGAAGTGCTCCGCCTCAAGAAGGAACTGCTCGCTGCGAATTCTAAGCTGGCCCTCCAGGAGCAAGAACTTGCACAAACGCGAGTTATGAAACACACTCTGGATCAAGCTCTTGGAACACCCTCTGAAGCTGACTTCAACGGACGTGAAGTCACCGAGCACACAATAAGCCATTTGCAAAGTGCCTTCAACGCGTCCAGCTCAAACTTCACGCAGCCGCATGAAGGATGGAATACCCATGACGATTCACAATCGGACGTCTCTGAAACACTATCCGCAGGCGCGTACAGCAGGGCTCGAGGATTCTGGTGGCCCCAGACGCAGCAGGTATTCGGCATGCATATGAATGCTCCAGCTGGCGAAAAGGCCTACGGTGAGCATGTGTCTCTCTCAAGCAATACCTTTGGTCCAGAAGCCAACAGGTTCTGGACCAATCCCACTGCAAGTCTTAGCATAAATGGCTCTTTTCAACCACATCGAGTCCTTTCAGGGCCCTCCTTCGGGACCTATAATTCCACTACGCAGTACGCTGAGGATCCAGCTCGGTATCTTCATAGCCCAAATAGTGCTCAGCGACGCTCAGTACCCGATGTCAATCGTGCTGGCCCTTGCTTTTCAGCCCAGAATCCTTCGTGGGAAGCGTCATTTAATACTGCATCTCCCAGCAACCAGCTTCCGCGAGCCCCTACAACTCGACCGTGCAGCACGTATCACCAGGTGGGTTTATACCCAATCCCACATTACCAAAGACCTATCGGAACCTCGCTTTCGCCTACGGCAAATGAATTTACTTCCTCTGGCGCAAATGCGGTGCCCTGGACGACATCTCCGGTGAGTTTCCACCGACAATTATCCATGCAACCTTGTCTCCTCTGCTAAAGCAGATAGGTCGGCGCAAACTCTTTGCAGACCTATATCTCTCCTCTTGAACCACTCAACTACCGTCGGCTCCTCGATAAAAATGTGTCTTGCGACTGGAAATATATAGTGGACAAAATTGTCTGCAACAACGACCAGCAAGCCTCTATCTTTCTTCAACAAAAGCTCAAAGTTGGAACAGCTGAGCAGAAATATGATATCATTGAGGCAATCACACATCAGGCGTATCCGCTCATGGTCAATCGTTTTGGTAACTTTCTTGTTCAACGTTGCTTCGAGCATGGAACTCCAGAGCAAGTCGTTGCCATAGCCAACGCCATCAAGGGCAATACGCTGAGCCTTAGCATGGATCCATTCGGATGTCATGTGGTTCAAAAGGCTTTTGACTGTGTCCCAGAAGAATATAAGGCTGTTATGGTTCATGAGCTTCTTCGCAGAATTCCAGAAACGGTTATTCATCGGTACGCATGTCATGTGTGGCAGAAGCTTTTCGAGCTGCGTTGGAGCGGGGAGCCTCCTCAGATTATGGCGAAGGTCAATGAAGCCCTACGAGGAATGTGGCATGAAGTTGCTCTGGGTGAAACTGGCAGTTTAGTAGTCCAGAACATTTTTGAGAACTGCGTAGAAGAAGAGAAGGTGACAGTTCCCCCAGTCCCTCGCTCGGAACGCTTGTTTTCCATCTTTCGTCCTTGCTGCGCGGATTACATCTCGGCAGTCTTGTGTCGACCGAGCATATCTATTTCTGAAACCAGATGATGAACTGCGCTAACGTTTATGTAGCGTCCGGCTATTGAAGAAGTGTTGGCAAAGATCGATGTGCTCGCCCATGGTCAATTCGGAAACTGGTGCATTCAACACATCTGTGAGCATGGCGCTCCTCACGACAAGAGCCGAGCCATTGAACACGTTCTCCTTTGGTCAGTCGATTACAGTATGGATCAGTTTGCCTCCAAGATCGTTGAAAAATGTCTCAAGATAGGGGGCTCCGAATTTCTGGACTGCTACCTCGCCCGGGTCTGCGCTGGCCGTACTGACAGACCCAGAATGCCCTTGATCGATAGTGAGTTCTTCAGACTGTTTAAATGTGTTCCACGGACTGAGTTGATTTTTGACAGTTGCTGGAGATCAATATGGGAACTACCTCATCCAGTGGATTTTGATGAATGCTGCACCTCATCAGCGTGAATTGGTCGCCAGCCACATTCGGTATTGCCTTGCCTCTCTCTCTACCTTTACTAATATAGCGATGCTCACACAATCATCATAGGAAGCACATGGTATCTTTGCGTGGTTCCAAGTTTGGTTCACGCGTGGCAATGCTCTGCTGCAATCCATCCCATACCACCCGTCCCGGACCCGGGGCGGGCATGCAGATCGGCCGTTTCAGCAATCTCAACGATGACCGGTATCATCCGGCAGGCCAACATGGAGGGAGATTCAGCCGCGGAAACCAGTGGAATCCAAACTATCCACCATTTCGTTGACTGAGCCTCTAGGGATTTCGACCAGGCACAGCGACACTGACGTTCGCATACTGCAAGGTATGAATGTAGGAACCAGCAAATGTTATCGACATTCTTGTGGCAAACAAGCAATTCAGGATGAATTTCTTATGTTGTTTCTTGTACCTGAAGGCTGGCAATATTCTGTGCGAGTTTCCAGATAACCAGTTGAACTCATCGAGAGATTGCGCATTTCATTTTCTTTGTGTTTCTGGGTTATTATACATCCAAGCCGTTGTTTCCCTTTTATGGTTGAGTGAGCGATCATATGATGGAAATAGTCGTATCCCAGTGCATTGCAAAGATATTAGCAGGTATAGGATAGTATGCTGGGACTTTGGCTTATTCAAGATAACATCCCCATGACAAGTGTATATCCCGGATTGTCTCCTGGAATGTGTGCGGTTCGATGGCTGTCAAAGTCATTCTCTACATAGCCATGTCATTCCATGAACGCGCAGTGAAAGATACAAAGATAAGAGGCTTATTTCAAAAGAACGCTTCTTTGCTGGCTCGATTTCTCCGCAAAGCTCAAAAGCTTGGCATGATAGAATTGACAATGCATGTCTCGAAATCCACGCTTTGTGCGTTGTTGTAGCTTAGCAGCTTCTCATCCGAGGAAGCTTCTCAACGTTGCCGCGGGGCTATGCATGAGTAGTTGATAGTGTAGCTGACATGGCCGTCCTCGTCAATTTTCAACATGTGACTCTGACCCTCGTGCAGATTCATCCTCTACTTCCCAAGGTTTCCGTCGCCTCGGTTTCTCACTTGGAGTATCATGGCCCGTCAAAACTGTGTCAGGTATTTGCTGAATGCCAGGTATTTGTTGACCAGTCGTTATGAGTTCGACAATCCGAGCGAAGGATGATGGGTAAGCGGGCCCCTGAATCGAGGGCGATTGCTGATTCATAGGAACTACGCCACCGGGTACTGCGGTCTCTGATGCGCTTGCTCTTTGAGAATCATGACTGCGAATTTCAGCGTCAGATGAGGGCTCTGCTGTCGGAGTCGAGCCCAGCCAGGTCTTGTATCTTTTGAAATCGAGCAGCGGCGATAGCTGCTCTTTGCTATAATATCCAGCAAATGTTAGCATAAGCACACGACATAAGTAAAAACAATGATAACTGTAAGCCTGACAACGTGCGTTAAAAGGGACATACCGCGAAAAATAAAAGCATTTTGCTTGTAGTACTAGGTCATCTTCGCAATCGATCTCAGCTTCAGTTGCCGGGATGTCGGGATGACCGAGGATGATGGAGAGCCCTTTTGCAAATTCAACATCTGTACTGAACGGATAGGAATTGAGCTTTCTGAAGAGATCAATTTCTGATTCTTGCGTCTCTACTAATTGACTTCCCTGGCTAGGTGTGTTTCCCCCATTGCGTCTGGATGTGGGGTTGGGGTTTGTGGAAGAGTGTCCATTGGCGGACTGCACAAAGGCTCGTTACTAGGTATATGCTGGACCGCTATTATTGCAATACTTGGGGGATTCGGGCGATATCATTCGGGCCCTGAAAATAAAGAGGCCTCGCTGTTAACTCGATGCCAGAGATCTGGCTGGTGAGCCTCAAGGAAGTTAAAGGACAAACTGCGGATACGTGGGGAGAGACTTTCAGCCGAGGCAAGAATCGCTCTGACGTAAGATCTTGTATCTAGTTAACTACCTTAGATACGGGAACACAAATGATAATCTCAGAGGAAGGAAGACTAATAACCGGCGCGTCCGAGTCTGATGCATCCGTAAGACCTTTGCCATTTGCACCACACCTCAGCAGACGACTATAAAGTTATAGTTGCTACTTCGTATCCGTGCCTTAATGTTGAGGGTGAGCCTAAAGCACAGATATATGACACTAGCAAGCCCGCCGCCTCGACTTAGCAATCCCGCACCAAGGGGCCTTTCTTAAGCAAGTTCCGAGATCAAGCCAACTTACGGGAGGAGGGGGAAAAGAAAAGGACTAAGACTGGGGGTGTGGGAGACAGGCAAAAAGAGAAAAATGCGCCAGCCATGCAATCCAAAACGAACCAAGACAGTGACACAATAGAGTCTTTTCATCTCTTAGGAAATGAAGGGAAACAGAAAACAATTATGTTGAGGTGTCCATTTCCTCTGTGCTAGTCTGACCCCCAGGCCGGTCAGCCACGGCCAGCCCACTAATCCCGCTTTGGCAGCCTGGGCAATTGTGCACAACTTCATGAGCAAAAAGATCACAATCAATACAGAAGTGATTTTTGCAAACTGTACACTCATAGCGACTGCTGACACTCATCCCTTTTGCCTGGGACTCCGTAGCTTGCCACTGGTCTTTAGGAGGTACCGTAGGGAAATATATGCCGCAGGCAAAGCATGTCAAACTGCGTGAGGCACGTTGCCAGGGAACCTCAACCCAGTTCATGAGCGGAAACAGATGATGATAAGATCGCGCAAGATGCGTTGACAGTATAAGTGTAAGACCGCAAGAGGGGCATTCAGCAGGGAGCCCACAGACTTTGCTACTGCATCGTGAACAGAAGTACCCTCCGCAAGATGGTTTAGAATGACATGCACACAGAGAGGGACACGACTCGACAGTACGGGACGGAAACCCCATCATCAAAAGGGAGCTTGTGGCTTGTTTTTGGGAATATGTCACAGGGGTGTCGTTACATCCATCATTAATTCACGAAAGTGCTGCTCGTTGAGCGCCACGCCATACGTGGTGTCGTCACCTGCATTAGTCCTAGAGCAGAGTTCACGACAAATAGCCACCTGAGCGGCCAAACCAGCAATCCTGACACGGATCTTGTCATTTATCAACGTGGTGATCGTCTGATGTATATCGCCCGGATCGGAGGAAAGGAGAGATCCAAAGATCACAAATACTTCTCGGGTTCCATGACTAGGAGTATGACTATCGACGCCAGGTCAGTTTACGACTAGAATGTGCTGGCTCGGGTGTAGAAGGTCTCACAATAAAGCACCACGCGCCATTTCAAGCCCGTTCTGCAAGCTAGGAAGGCCCTTGGGGTCATGTTCCCTCAGAGCCTGTATAGCACTGATGTGCTCCGTAGGGTTGCCACTCATATCACTGACCCGTATTGCAAGACCATCCCTCAAGCCAAGCACGCCAAGTTGGGATATGGGATTCTGCTCAAAAAATTCCCGCACGAATTCTTGTGCATATCGCAGGGAAAGAAGGTATCGCGTCGGCCTTAGATCTTTCTCGGCCATAGACTGGGACAAATCCAGAATCAAGATGAGATGCCGGATTATACCACGTTGCAATGGTGTTGTATCTCTTAAAAGTCTACAAGACGACGATGATTATGATGCTGCTCAGTGCAACGGCCCTTAAAAGGTATAAGGTGTTTTCCATTCTGAGTGGAGCTTACCTCTTCCTTTTCCCGGCTTCTAAAAGTCCTTCAACAGTAGAGCTGATTGTGCCATCAGCACCCTCGACCAAGGTCTCCCAAGTCCTCGAAACCTCCCATTCAGCACCCCCGCGCTGCTTTCTCCGTTTAGGACGGGAGACAGGCGCCGTTTCCCGGGCATATCGGATACCGTTGACATCGTTTTCTTCGTCGGAAACTTCGCCAACGTACTCTTCGTCCGAATCAGCCATGATGTCCTCGAAGAGTCGAGTGGAGTAACTGTGTCGGTCTGTAAGTGTGTGATAATGATAGGAGCATTGAGTCAATCAATGCGATCTACATGAGACTTAAAAAATCGACTAACAATGCTCGTGCTTATCACAATGCATCAAATCATCAAGTCATAACGAGAGCTTGGGCAATCGGTGATTTGCTTCGAGAAAGAGTGGGCCGAAAAGCCAAGAAGTACCTAGTTTCCTAGGGTATCTACTCTACCTAAGGCAGGGACAGCCCGAAGCTCCGCCCTAGCTCCGTATTGAAAATTTCGGCTCTATTTTTTCCGAGGTGATGACATCCACAGGGAATGGTAAGGTGCCTAGGTACGGAGTAGAGAGGTAAAGGATTGTTCCAGAGACACAAGGCACTCTGTAATTACTATCACCTTTCCCTTCCAAAATTCTAGGTCGGTAAATAGCTGATCAGGTACAGAGCCGTTGAGAGATGGATATAGACGATTCTCAGAGGCATTGTTAGGTATGGAGTAAGGTACAGTGATAGTATCAGTGTCAACCATAAATTACTTGACTCAAAAAGTGTCCAGGGTGCCTAGACGACAATAATAATATCTATGAAGCGTAGCAGAAATACTGGTAGTAGAATACGATGTTCAACACATACCTAAGGTAGGTGGTGTCAATTTTCCAAGGGTTTATCAGACCCATTGAGAGATCCTTCACCCTAGTTTCGTTCATCCTTGCCCTTCCTTTTCCATGTCTCGATAAGCAGATTAGCAGAAGCTCTCCTTCAAGTATCCCCGACAATAACCGTCGCCAGTTTCGTAACAGATGTGGGGGAGAAGGTGTTGCATCGCGTCTACCAGATGCGCTGGCGTAATCCCTGAAGCAATCCGCTGTCATCATTTTGTTAGCTATCGACCCATCCGGCCAGTGTCTCTTCTCCGCCCCTCCTTCCCCTCTTTTGCTTCTTCTCGTGGGGTTTCTTCTTCTTCTCGCTTTTATCTTCCTTCTTGCACAACTCTGCGTCGCCCAGTCAAACTTAATCTTTCAAAGTCCCTCGTAAGGCACTGTTCATTTGACGTACGCGCAATGGCAATGACGGATAGAGACACACTTCCTGACGCGTAAGTTTTTGGAACCCTCTACCACTTGGCTGCTTCAGCATCGTGGACATGTGTTGACGAAGTAACAGGGTTAAACCAGTGCACTACCATGTGTCCTTATATGATCTCGAGCTTGGTGGTGCTTGGGGTTACAAGGGTATTGTTAAGATAGATTCCACCATCACCCGGCCCACCAAGGAAGTTGTGCTCAATTGCAAGGATATCGAGGTCCATAAAGCAGAAATTTTGGGAAAAGATGGTTCGTCCAAGAAGCAAGAGCCACATTTAAATCAATGCGCTGCTGTAGATTCCGCTGACGGCGACTGTCATATTTCTTACTTTAGGTACGCAATTCGCGAAGGCGTCTAAAATCACGTATGACAAAAAGTCAGAACGCGTGTCTTTTATGTTCTCTCTAGAAATATCGCCTTCAGACATTGTGGTATCTATTGCCTTCACCGGCACGATGAACAATGCCATGGCTGGTTTCTACCGCTCAAAGTACAAGCCTGCCGTGCAGCCCACGGCTGATACACCCAAAGAAGGTGACTTCTACTACATGCTTAGTACTCAATTCGAGTCTTGTGACGCACGAAGAGCCTTCCCTTGCTTCGATGAACCAAATCTTAAGTCAACTTTCGACTTTGAGATCGAGGTTCCCAAAGGGCAAACTGCCTTGAGCAATATGCCGATCAAGTCAGAACGAGACGGTAGTAAGCCCGACCTCAAGTTTGTGTCCTTTGAAAGGACCCCAGTCATGAGCACTTATGTCAGTACAAATACCTTCGTCCTTATCTGCTAAGGAAAGGCTAACTAGTTGCAATCTCCGTCCAGCTTTTGGCATGGGCTGTTGGTGACTTCGAGTACGTTGAAGCTATGACTCAACGCAAATACAGCGGAAAGAACATACCAGTCCGTGTCTACACTACGAAAGGGCTCAAAGAACAGGCACGTTTTGCCTTGGAATGTGCTCACCGCACCGTCGATTATTTCTCGGAAGTATTCGAAATTGAATATCCCTTGCCCAAGGCTGATCTTCTTGCCGTTCATGAGTTTGTAAGTGGTGCAAAAATGCCTCTTGAAGGTCCTACTTCCACTGATCATATCGCCTCAGGCCATGGGTGCCATGGAGAATTGGGGTCTTGTCACATATCGTACGACCGCAGTTCTATTTGATGAGGGAAAATCCGACACCCGCTACAAGAACCGCATTGCATACGTCGTGGCTCATGGTGAGTTTCTTAGTTCGAGGTATAATGATTGCGTGTGGCTGTTTTCTAAGAATGAACCGCAGAATTGGCCCATCAGTGGTTTGGCAATCTTGTGACTATGGACTGGTGGAACGAGCTTTGGCTGAACGAAGGCTTCGCAACTTGGGTTGGCTGGTTGGCTGTTGATCATTTTTATCCCGGTAAGAGAGAATCCCTTGCTTCTGTCTCGATATGTACTGCGACTTCATCGAACTAATATAACGAACCAGAATGGAACGTTTGGTCTCAGTTTGTCGTACGCAATTCCCGAGGTAACGATGTCATTGTCCGTCCGTTGTTAACTGGTCGCATAGGCTGAAGGGGTGCAACAAGCGTTTCAGCTCGATTCCTTGCGCGCATCTCACCCCATTGAAGTTCCCGTAAGGAACGCTTTGGAAGTAGACCAGATTTTTGACCATATCAGCTATCTGAAGGGAAGCTCGGTGATTCGCATGCTGAGTGATCATCTTGGTCGACAAACGTTCCTCCGTGGTGTGGCCGACTACTTGAAGAAGCATGCGTATGGTAAGTCAGGCTTGAGGGTTCGTCTGCAGAAGATCGCTGCTGAGAACGATGTTAGGTAATGCTACTACAAATGATCTCTGGTCTGCCCTCAGTCAAGCTTCCAACCAGGATGTCCATAAATTCATGGTGGGTCAGATCTTGCTCGCTTCGCCTTCTGGGGTTTTTCTAACTCTTCCTCAAAAGGATCCGTGGATCCGAAAGATTGGCTTTCCTGTTCTCACCGTGGCAGAAGAGCCAGGGCAAATTAGCATTCGCCAGAACCGATTCCTTTCAACTGGGGATACAAAGCCTGAAGAGGACGAGACGACATGGTGGGTTCCGCTGGGCATCAAATCAGGACCCCGGCTGGCCGACGTGAATTCACGCGCCCTTGTCTCGAAATCTGACACTATTGCGGGCGTCGGTCAAGATTCATTCTACAAAATCAACAAGGATCTGTCAGGCTTCTACCGCACGAACTACCCTGCCGACCGTCTAGCGAAGCTGGGCCAATCTTTGGACCTGTTAAGTACCGAAGATAAGATTGGCCTCATCGGTGATGCTGCTGCTCTCGCTGTGTCCGGAGAGGGAACTAGTGCTGCATTATTAGCTCTACTAGAAGGATTTAAGGGGGAGGAAAACTACTTGTAAGTGCCGAGCACATTTATAAGAGTTTTCGAACTGCTACTCACCGTATTCATTCCAGGGTTTGGTCACAGATTTCGTCGTCGGTCGCAAATTTGCGCTCTGTCTTTTCGCAGAATGACTCAGTAGCTGCTGGATTGAAGAAATTCACACTCGCATTGGCATCTCCCGCCGCCGAAAAATTAGGCTGGGAATTTAAGTCCGACGAAGATTATCTCACTGTGCAACTTCGTAAGCTTCTAATCGGCATGGCTGGGTTTGCGGGTCATGAAAGGTGGGTTCCCGATATTGGCAGCTTGTTGGGAAAGGAAGTTCGGCTTAGTGTTTTCTAGCATCGTTACTGAGGCGAAACGGCGATTCGATCTTTGGGCTTCAGGCAAGGACAAGAGTGCAGTGCACACGAACCTGCGCTCGGCAATCTTTGGCATCACGATCGCTGAAGGTGGACGCGACAAATATGATTCCGTGAAGGAAGAGTATGTCAAGACCGACTCGGTCGATGGCAAGGAGATTTGCCTCGCCGCGCTTGGACGTGTCAAAGATGCTGATCTCGTCTACGACTATCTGGACTTTGTTTTCTCTGACAAAGTGGCAATCCAGGACGTGCACAATGGTGCCGTGGCTTTGGCTGCTAACTCGAAAGTCCGCCATCTTCTGTGGGAGTACATGAAGAAAAATTGGGATGCCGTTGAAGCCCGACTTTCGGCGAACAACGTCGTCTTCGAGCGCTTTGTGCGAATGGGCCTGTCGAAATTCGCAGACCATAGCATTGGGGAGGATATCGCTTCCTTCTTCAAGGACAAGGATACAAGTCCCTATGACCGCGCCTTGGTGATCGTTGCTGACTCCATACGAACAAATGCAAACTACAAAGAAAGGGACGAGAGACTGGTTTTGGAGTGGCTTCAGGCTCATGGCTATGCCTGATTGCTGCAAACAAGCTGCTAAGAGGCTTGATTGGAAGTTTGTATTGCAATGCAATCTTTGGGTCCCATATTTCTGGTCATATCGGGATGGTTCTCATTTATTACATGCAACAGAAGTCAATATGTGCTTGGCCATGTCAATGGCTACATAGGCCTATTTTTATGAAGGACAGCTTCAGATTGTGGCAAATCAAAAGTATCTACTTCTCAAAAGACAATGTCCGCGCAGTCTCAGATAACACTAGTAATGGCTTACTCTCTCCTTCTACTGAACTCAGCAATGATGACACACAGCGGCAAGTATAAGTTAACACTGATACGTGACAGAGACAGTCACCTGGTCACGAGGAGACATCTACAGATGTGTGGGGAGCAGGCCGCTGAGCTGGAGTCCTTGCTTTGGAGACCCTGTCAATTTATCTTACATCATGGCAAAATGCTCAGATTCAAGCATTCTACTATTACCAAGGGTTACTGTGTATTAATGAAGATCGAGGAAGCGCTCGAAGATATGGGGTGTCAGCTGAAGGGGCTAACAGCTGACCTCTACGTGTTGTTCATCATTGCCATGCTCGTGCTCAACTTTAGCATTCTTCTATTTTATCACTCACTGGGAATATTAATTGTACTTGATCCAGTTTCCATAGCCATTTTGCCTATCTTGGTAGACATCCGATCTGATTGATACTCATGAGGCGTTCAGACGCTAGACTAGATTGGGCCAATTTATGGGTCTGAGGCGGTTGAACATGAGACGGTCACAGACGGTACGGAGTACGGTCAGATGAAAAACATGGGTAACTTGCACGCTGTGCTCGCCTGCTCTCCTGCACTACCTACTACCTTACTACTAGCAACGTAACTGCCATCTCAGAACGCCGCTTCAGTCCATCTAAGTGCCTAGACAATCCGAGGCCACACTTACATCAATAGCTAGCCACCTAACTCTGCTATAGTCGTCTCATCTCATTCTGCTTTCCCCAACATTCCATTCTCACTTCTCACCTCCTTCAAAGCGACCTAGTTCTCGTTGACAGATACCACCGCTCATCATGAATCCTGAGTGGTAAGTTTCCCCCTTCTACCTACAGTACAGGAGGTTTAGAACTGGCGCTCTGCGCGCAGCGAGAAAATGTCTTTCTCCCTTATCTCCCTTGTTTATGTTGACTGACTGCTGGATTTAACTAGAGTGCCCGATATCCCCATCTCTCCTGTCTAGTCGTTCATTATCTCCGCAAAAATTAAAAGACAACTCCATCTCACTTGGATATGTGGATAGATACGACTATCTCTTCAAACTCCTTCTCATCGGAGACTCTGGCGTCGGAAAGTCTTGCTTGTTACTTCGATTCGCCGATGATACGTACACAGAAAGTTACATCTCCACCATCGGTGTCGATTTCGTATGTACTCCTCACAAAGGCATACCGTTGAGCATACAGGCACCTTCGCAGTACTGATTAATGATGTTCCAGAAAATCAGAACTATTGAACTCGATGGGAAGACGGTGAAGCTCCAGATTGTAAGGACAAAGCACCGAAAATGGGCTCTTCACCGCCTGTCATAGCTGACAGACAATATATAGTGGGACACAGCAGGTCAAGAACGTTTCCGAACCATCACATCGTCTTATTACCGTGGCGCCCATGGCATCTGTGTTGTTTACGACGTGACCGACATGGACTCTTTCAACAACGTGAAGCAGTGGCTCCAGGAAATTGATCGCTACGCCACAGAAGGGGTCAACAAACTGCTTGTGGGCAACAAGAGCGATATGGAAGACAAGAAAGTCGTGGAGTACACCGTAGCCAAGGTTCGCGTCCAATCACGCCTCAGTCTGTCTAGCTTTCGTCCTAATATGTTTTGTGATTTACCTGTTTAGGAATTCGCCGATAGTCTTGGAATTCCTTTCCTTGAAACCTCAGCCAAGAATGCTTCCAATGTTGAGCAGGCTTTCTTGACCATGGCTCGGCAGATCAAGGAGCGTATGGGAACTGCCACTGTTAACAACAAGCCGACTGTGCAGGTCGGTCAGGGTCAGGGTGTTCAATCTGGATCCGCAGGCGGTTGCTGCTAAGGGAGTCATGGTATACACATGCTGTTCTGTGTTCAAGTGTGTTGTAACTTCTGAGCGACGGAAAGGGTATTTTAGCCCAGCTCCCAGTGATGGATTGCCTTTATACCGGGAATCGTTCAGATAGTCTTCTGGGCTTCCTCATCCGCCTTCCTTCTCTGTTAGTTTGAGATGACTGTTTGGAACTGCTTCAAGATTCTTCCATGCCTTTAGACTGTCCCGCGAATGTTTTCCTGCACGCTATTTCCGCCGGTGTTCTATCTTATCAATGCTCGCTGTGCCCCTTTATGATTTCTCCTTTGGTTTCTTCTTATCCTCCCCTTTCTGCGGCACCTCTGTTTTTATTCTCCCCCTTTTCTTGAGGTTGGACTCGTTAATGTTTGTCGAGTTAATTGTAAAGAAAGTCAATCCATCTTGGGGGAGGTAAATCGTCAGACGATATATTCTAAGCATTACGTTACATCTATCATGCTTTGACTGGGATTCATATTTTCCGACAGGAGCAGAAGTCTGTCTTCAGCATCTTTCGCGTAAATAAATTAGGCTAGAGCGGTCAGGACCGCGAGAAGGCAGATCGGAGATGAGCAGACCAGGGACTGTGATTATCGGGGATCAACAGACAAATAGACAAATAGACAACACAGTTGTAGAACTTGTCAAACATGAATGACCTCCAGGTATAATAATAAACAAGTAACCTTGGTGGTAAATAACACCGGGGGACACTGTCAACCATACAGCCCTGACTTATCAATTTAGGTGAGTATGCCACTCTTAGTCATGGAGAATACCATTTCGACTGCTTTAAATATTTCTTAAGGTAAGTTTGGGGTCATCGTAATAATCTGGATTAACATAAATTGCCGTCACATGCAAATGAGGGAAAATCCTGGGGCCGCTTGGAGACAAAGAACGTTTCTAATGTCTTAGCATAACACACCATGAGCAAGCATATGAGGTTATTGAGTTAACTGGCCTGCTGTGGACCTCGGCCTCTTGCTAAGACCTCGCCTTATTCATATTAAAGACTCGAAAAGTGACCCTCAACTCCTGATTAAAGCTGGACATGATCCTGTAGCAGAGACACACTCCGTATTAGTCCGTGTATAGATAGGACCTTTTAAGACTGGTTTTAATAAGCCCAAAGACAAATGCCAGTCGCCAACGATCTATTCAGAAAGGACAAATTGTTCTAACCATAAAATAACATTATTTTCGACCACCATGAAGTGCATATCATAACTTCGGACAACGGAAGGGTTCCCGGACGACAGCCGAGGCTCAGTTGAAATTCGGTAAACGTCATGAACGTTATCGTCATGATTTCTCCATCTTAAGCCGAATCATTCTCGCGCGTCCTACCTCTCTAATGAGCCTGGTCATCAATATTATTCCCAGCTGATCCCCATTCTATCACTCCTTTGCTCCTTACCCTTATCACAGAGCGTCCTGTCATCCATCTCAGTCCACCCACCTTGCGTATCGATCTCAATCCGCTCCTTCAGCATTTTTTGGGATCGTTAGCATCGAACTATAACCCTGGTTACTCGTCAGATATCCGTCCTTGAACCGAACGCTCCATTGTATACAGTTACGCTTGGACTTCTCAACCAGGACACTCCTTACAGGATTGACTTGTGTTCGCCATGTCCCAGTCTAGAATTCAAGAGCAAAAAAGGGCGGTTGCAGCGTCAGCTGCCGCTCAACAAAGTGACAACATAGCGCATGCATTAGCTGGCGCTGGCGGTGGCGTTCTTTCAATGGTCTTGACGTGCGCAAACTTGAATCTCCCTTTATTGGAGCACTAGTTGACGATCATTTGCTGTTAGCTATCCTCTCATCACACTTTCTACAAGAGCACAGGTCGAATCGAAACGTGCCCATTCTACAACCATGGACGCCGTTCGCCGCATTGTCCAGCGTGAGGGTTTCAGTGGACTGTACTCCGGACTTGAATCGGCACTGTTCGGCATAAGCGTTACTAATTTCGTATACTATTACTGGTTCGAATGGACTCGTGCGGCCTTCGAGAAAGCAGCCGTGAAAGCTGGTCGTGCATCCAAGAAACTCACCACGGCTGAGTCGATGATCGCTGGGGCTATCGCCGGAAGTGCAACTGTCCTGATCACCAATCCCATTTGGGTCGTGAACACAAGAATGACAGCTCGCAAGTCGGATGCGGAGGATCAGGCATTGCCTGGTGCGCCGGAGAAGAAGGCACGGGCTTCGACCATTGGCACCTTGATGGATCTGCTTCGACGGGAAGGGCCTACGGCCCTTTTTGCTGGAGTTCTTCCGGCGCTCGTCCTTGTGATCAACCCCATACTGCAATATACCATCTTTGAACAGCTGAAGAATATCGTGGAGCGCCGTAGACGCATGACGCCTAAGGATGCGTTCTATCTGGGCGCTTTGGGCAAGATACTGGCCACCACGATCACCTATCCTTACATCACAGTCAAGAGCCAGATGCACGTTGCAAGCAAAGATGGTCCCAAGGAGAGTTTGAACGGAAGCTTGAAGAGAATTATCAGGGAGGAAGGGTACACAGGTCTATACAAAGGTAAGCTGAATATGCGTATGCCGCGCAGACAGTGCAAACTAAGCTGACGACTACGCAGGAATTGTTCCAAAAGTTACGCAGAGCGCGATTACCGCGGCTTTCCTTTTTGCTTTCAAGGATGTTTTGTATGATATGATGGTATCGGCTCGGAAGAGATCTCGACTATCTAAATAGACGGCATCTTCCTCCCCGAGCAGTCGTCCTTGTCCACCCAAGCTGCAAGTCGGGCATTACGGACTATAGCTGTCGAAGTCGAGCTTTGACAATTGTCCTATAATTCCTGCTCTGGCACACCATCTGCATTTTTTCGCCCCAATCCGGCTCGAGCTTAGCTCACATTCAGGCGATGTGAAAGCTGAATATTCCGCATGATTGACTGACCCGGGGTCATGCATTATCGTCTTGATGAGCGCAAGGCAGAAAGCTGGGTTGAGACTTCGGAATACGGCCCTCTTCAGCTGTTCCTTATTCCCTTTATTGATGTGTTTTCCATGTACATAACTGGGATGTAAATCAGCCTCTTTGGCGATGTTCACATTTCTACTCCGGGGCGGGCCATGGTAGGACTTCTGGGCCGAGCTGAAAATAGCAGCGATAGAGAAATGAGGTTAGCTATATAACCGCCTAGACGTATAAGCACGCTGGCTGATGAAGTCGACAAGGTTTGTTTCTGTCTGCAATGTGTCCAGCCTTCAGTTACAACCAGATTGTAACTTTCCACAGGCTCAGTCCACAATCTTCACAGTACACAGTCATGGTTACCTTAGTCATCTTCGTGGTTAACTAACTAACTACAAGTCACATGCTCTGATTCATTCAGCCCGGAGCTGATTATTATTATTCCAGGTTCCATGATGTAGGAAGTGAACATGCTGACCTGACCGCCTGCTATATCTTGCTCTAAAGTGTTTTATTAGTGCCGGCATAAAATGATATGAACCTGCCATGCCTGGGTTTGGTCCCGCGTTCACGCGTCACTCAGTGAATTGCTCTGATAATAATCTTCTTACACATACAACACTCCGGTGCTACAGAGCTCTTCTTCTTTCCCTCTTGTTTCTTATCTACCTGTCAATTCATTTAGATCTAGAAGTTCAAGGTCTACAACCGTTTTTTCTCCGGGACATACCAACCTATACCCGCTATGTGAGTTAGGAGACACCCTTGCCACTGTATTACTTATGCTTCTCCTTTCCCCTGCTTCTTCATCTCGTTCCCCTTGCGATCTTGGACTGCGCTTCTTCTCTCGATGTATGGGACACTGACATCTACTTATATAGGCAATCCCTTCGTATCTCAGGATCTGATCCACTGGGAGACAAAGGACACTAGAATCTTCGAAGCCAGTCCCAATGCTACATCGTGCAATACCCCAGAAGATAGCAGGGATGATGAATCTCTGCACATCAAATCACCAACACCTTGAACCCGATGATCCTGCGCTAATTGAAGAGCACAAATTACTGCTGTCAAAGTTTATGGAACCCTCTTCTAGGGGTACCAAGAAAATTGAGCGAGTGTCCAGCAACAACTTTGAGACAGTATTTCACTCTCAGGCATCTCTGAATAGCGCCTCTAACACTATAAATGATGAATTCAGCGCAGTTACCAATCCAGGAGTCTCGTCGGGAGGCAGGAAGAATTGTAATGCCAAGGTAGCTCTTGGTTTACCATCTTCTGCGAGGAAAAGGTCAACATCCAATTTGTCGAGTATGGACAAGCAGACATTTAATTCTTCTCCATCATCTGTTGCACGGGATTCATCATCTCCAGCTCCATCTTCGACCAGGTTTCCAGCGCCAAGGACACGACGTTCTGCTCGCTCGAGAAACAAGCAAATCAATTATTATCCCGTGATTAGCCTCTCTCAGTCTGACTCGGAAGAGGGTCCTTCAGGCAGTAGAGACATTAAACTAGTCAATACCAGCTCACAGGCAGGCAGTCGGCAGAGTCACAAACATTCCAATCAATCATCCCCGCGCCTTCGTCACCTGAATTCGAATGCTGATCCTCTTTCTCATGCTGAAAAGCGTATCATCTATTCTTCGCGAGGGGTGCAGATTCGGAAGTTGAACTTCAGATCCCTTGATGACCTCAAAGATCTTAAACACGCACCATTTTGCCCAGAACATAATCCTGTCAAATATGCCAAGAGATACAGGGAGTCCATGACAATATCAAGTGAAATCTTGCATGTTGATTTTGACTCGCACGAGATGACAGCTATGCTGGATTTATTATCATTACATGGGTGGCAGTATTCCCCAACCTCGGAAGTCTCAATCAGTGATCAAGTTATCGCAGTATTGTCGAGTCATGAGGTCCATCGGGATTTTGCGAAGAAAATCTCTCTGCTGCGCGAACTCGCCAAAATCATTTCAAATGAGGCAGTCATTGATACCAGCACCTGGCTCTGGGAAGTATTGACCTCAAAAGTCAGAAGCAAGAATCAGCAGTCTGTGGAACATTGTCTTACTCAACTTCTTACTCTCAAGGGTGTGGCAAGCGATGGAGTCCTGTCCGCTTCGCCCGCAGTCATCAAACGACAACTCCAGATATTCCTAAGCTGCTTGCCTCACGCCTCTATACTTTATCGACGTCAGCCTGCCGATATTGATGCATTCATCCAGACTGCAAGAATTGGACATCTTTCATCATCGCCTTCGATTATTCAGGCTGCTCGAGTGACTGATAGTAGCAGCAGCTTCTCAGTCTTTGGTCCCATTCGAGCCCTGAACAATGTGAACACATTACTACAGAATCGTGAGCTAGGAGGACCGGTAAAGCGACAGCTTCGAACTAAGGTCAAGTCAGATTTCAGTCTTCTGAAGACCTGGAAAGGTGCTTCAAATGACGTGAATGTCCTAGCTTGGTCGCCTGACGGTACCAGATTTGCAGCAGGCGCCACTGCCCAATGTGATGAGGGAAATATGGAGTACAATCGGGGTAACAACTTGGTCATTGGGGATTTGACGTGCAATCGCCTCGAGGAGGTGCCTGGCCATTACATAATTCGCCCTCCTGGGAGGGCTGCGTCTCAACGGGCCACAAGTGACAACCGGCTCTTCATGAGTGTTACTGCCATGCAGTGGTTCGATGAGACACTTTTTACAGCCAGCTACGACAATACGGTGAAACTCTGGAGGTTTTCTGGCAACCGGATAACAAATCACAAAACGCTCCCGCATGAATCGAAAGTATTAGTCATGGCGCGTTCAAATTTTCAAGAGAATCTGCTGGCAACCGGCGCGCAATCTTTCAGGCTATGGAACATCGTGGAGTCAAAAGATGCTCCCCTGATAATTGAATCCAGAAGAGACCTGACTCCCACTTGTTTGGCTTGGGGGAGTACCCATGATACTAGACATTTACTGCTCGCTGGGATGTCCGAGAGGGATGATGGCCTTCCGCACGCTTGCCCAGCCCCGAGTGGCTTTCTCACTGGGTGGCATGTGGGTGAGGCTTCAATAATCCCAACACCGTTTCAGCCTAATTCACAGAATATATTTGATATCAAATGGCACCCGACCTTGCCGAGATTTGCCACAGCAAGTACGGTAGGCCAGAGCCAAGTGTCTCGGGGAACCAGGTCTGTGGTCCGTGTTTATGAACCACTGAAGTGGAAATCTCAGACAATTGAGTTCGAGTGTCCCGCGCTGGATATCAATGATATCACCTTCTGCCCGATGAACTCATATTATGTGACCGCCAGTTGCACTAATGGCGTAACATATGTTTGGGACTATCGCAAACGAGACCAAGTCCTGCTAGAGCTTCCTCATGGTGAACCCCTCAACCAGTTAGATGAACTGCTTGAGAGGGAGCAGGATGATGTAGGTGTTAGAATGGCCTTGTGGGGGGACGAAATCCACCAATTCTACACAGGGGCCTCAGACGGTATTGTTAAGCAATGGAATATCTTGCGATCTCAGGAGGATGCACTTACCAAGAACGTCTTTGGAATTGAAGAGGAGATAATGTGCGGTGCCTTTTCAAGTGATAAGTCAAATCTTTTGATTGGAGACGCAGGCGGGGGTATCCATATCCTCTCTACTTCAAGCTCTTCGCCTCATGAGGGCAGAGACCCAATTGAAGATGAAAGAAAAATGCATTTCAGGCACGCAGCTCAGCCACCCTGGGATGTTCACGCATCAGATTCAGAGTCTGGGCTTGTGGCGGCCCGAAAGCTACTGAATTCTGGGAAGCTCAAAAGACACCCTGTTTTTGGAGTGGGTCAAGGTCCTCATTATGATGGACCTTTTGCCGGGTGGGCTCGCCCAGGGAACCCAGATCAACCTCATCTTGCCAGTCTCGAACCGGATGTTAAGATGCGACAGCTCGATGGGCCGGCCCCTAAGGATCGCATTGGCTTGGACGAAGAATCGCGGCAACTTGTGGAGGCTCATATTCAACTTGCTCGGATTCGCAACCAGCGGCGAAATGAATATAAAAGGAAACGTGCTGTTGATGTCATTGATCTGTGCAGTGATGAAGAAGATAACCGGGGCCCTGAAAGACGAGCGCAAAGTCGGCACATTTACATTGGAGACTTCATGGGCATTACCAATCTTCAATGTGAGGTCATAGACCTAACAGGTGACACCGATACTGACTCAGAAGAGAATGCGAGTACTGCGAGAGCTAGGTCACCTTGTTCCGAGTTCCCTAAAATGGACTCTTTGCTTGAAACGCTGGAAGCAGGTCTTGAAGAGGATTTTTGGTGGCCAGACAGTGGCCAGGTCAATCCTAATTTTCCACAAGAAGAAGCATAAAGCTGAGCAAGGTCAAGGGGGCTATGGAGCAGGTCACCAGCCTCCTGGGTGCTATTTTACCTATATCACCTTCATTTGTTGTTTGTCTCATATTTTCATTCACAATGATATGATTATTGATTTGTGGCTTTTATGAGTTGGGAATGAATGGCATGCTGAATGTTTACATCAATTGGTATCATGATCAGAAACATGGTACGTCTATAGTAATATATTAATATACCAGAAGCCAGGAGACTCCATAGGCAGGTAAATGTTAGGATCTGGCTTCATCTGGTGTTGGTTTGCCCTATTAGGTGACAGCTGAATTTCTAGGAACCATGCCTCTGATGAGTAAACTCATGATAAAAATACAAGAGAAAGAGTGCTTTTATCACGCTTTGACCCCTTAAACTAGACTATCTTTCAAAGCTTGTACCAGCTGTGAGGTGACAGATTAGTTTAATTGCTATGTTATGGAGTATTTTAGAAAGCATCTGGATTCTAGGCACCATTAGATCCGCGTTGAGGGTGAGCCTAAGTCACGGATACTAACGTGCCTCTGTAACGTGCCTCTGTAACAACATTCATATCTACTGGCAGTCGTCCAATCAGCAGTATTTAGTGTCTGGGCACCGCCACAGGGCACTGCAAAGTGGTTGACCCGGTCGGTGGCTAGGTGGCCATATCTATTTATATGAGATCATACCCTTCTGCTGGAACCATAGTGAACGAACGACGTTGCCATCTCCAAATTTCTGTCCCTTCTTCTTTAACTGTACTCACGAGTCTGATACAAGAAAACGATTGATCCTTCGCTATCGACGTACTTGGATATATTGTTGTTGGCCGTCCCTAAGACCCGAGTCGGCTCCCTTCATCTCTTTCCTCTCCATGTCATTTGCCCCGCCTCCCGGACCTCCGCCGCCTTCCATCCCAGAAGGATGGAAGGCTCAATATGACGACCGCTACAAGCAATGGTGAGTCCTCTGACGGCTTCGGTCTTGAACTTGCTGTCAATGCCTTGGATCTAATTTACCGTGCTCAAGGTTCTTTGTGAACTTGCACACAGGCAAATCCCAATGGGAACGTCCTGAGGGTCCAGCGCAGAAAGAAGAGCAGCATGCTCCGCCAAGCGGGCCGCCACCGTCATACGATGACTCTGGTCCTGCAAATCCGTCTGTTCAGGCTGCCGCAACTGACGACAAGAAGACGCTGGGGTCGAACAATCCCTACAGCCAAGCAGAACCCAGCAATGATACCCTGGAGAGCGATGCCCGGCTCGCTGCCCAGCTACAGGCTGAAGAAGATGCTCGAGCTCAAAGCAGAAGCCCTGCGCATCCCGGCGCGGCGGCAGACTACTACAGCGGAAGCTCCAGGCCGCTGTCCTCAACGGGTTATCAGCCGTCACAGGGTCCTGCGCCGGCCCCTGAACCGAAGCGCAGCAGAGGCTTTTTGAGCAAGTTGATGGGTAAAAGCTCAAGCAGTAGTGGTAGCTCTCACTTTGGAAGACCGCCTGTTGCTCAGCAACAACCTTACGGGTATCAGCAAGGAAGCTACTATGGGGGTGGCTACCCCCGCAACCGCAGCCCGCAGGCTATGGATATCCTCAGTACCCGCCACAGGGCGGCCACTATCCCGGAGCGGTGCCACCGCGGCGGGGCGGCGGAATGGGCACTGCAGGCGCTGCCGCTTTGGGTGTGGGAGGCGGTTTGCTCGGCGGTGCTCTGCTCGCAGAAGCATTCGACGATGACCATGGGGACACAATCGTCAATAACTATGGTGATGATTACGGTGGTGACGTCGGCGGCGGCGATGACTTTGGTGGTGACTTTTGAGTTTGCTGAAATGTGCGCCGCTGTGTTGGCGCTTGTCCTCACCTGTCTTGATTTCAGTTTCTTAGTTGATGGGTCACGAGAGCGCGGTCTTAATTGTCCGTTCTCGCCTGCTGCGTCTGTCCCAGATGCTCTAAGCGTATCAATAGATGCGCATGTACACAGACTTGTTTCTGATCGTTTTCCCGATGATATGATGTTGATGATGGTCATGTAAATAGTATTCTTGCTTGTGTTCTATTACTTACTTTTTATACTCCCATACCGGTTGGTTGAGATCCGTTATGTAGCCGGTAATAGAGTCAACTCGACTGATATCATAGGAATTATCTTTGCGAGCAGCTGGCTAAGATGAAGCCATTGAAATAGCCTGTCAACCTCGTCTACGCGTAGTACCTCCAGTTTCCCGACCGGTTGCGGCTCCCCGGGGGCTCCAGCATCCGTCTCAGCGGTGTGCCTTGGGGTGGCACCGGCCATCCACCCGGCGAGATCGAAATTCCCAGGCCCGCCGCCACCAGCCATAGCATTCCGCGTAGCACCAGAGATCGGAGAGGAGCGTGATTGCTTCTCGAATTCAGCACGCATTTCCGGGTCCACTGACAAATAAGTTAGCACGCATGGCAAGGCGTGTATATGCAGGAATAAATAGTAGCAAAACGACTTACTATTCTCCATAAGCTTCGGCATTCCGAAGGTGAACCCGAGTGCTACCAAAGCCAGCAAGATCATAGGGTTTTTGAAAAGCGAAAGAGGCGAGACTGGCATGACGCATTTTGTCAGCATACACATCATTTGGAGCGCGCAAAGGGTAAAGCATTCTCCACCACGGCAGCACGGGGGTTGGAATGCATCTCACATCTAGCTCTTTCTTCATAGAATCCTCTTCTAGCCAAGACCTTGGCTTCCACCGTCACCTCTAAGGCTTTGGCGCCGTTGCCAGTAGCAGCATCGACAACGAACTTCTCCGGGCCGCGGTTGTCCCATGGGTTTCCCCGGTAAGTCTCCCACACGCCCAGGACAGTTCCATCTGCTGAGATGTCCACCCGGTACGGGGCAAAGACATACTCGGCCGATCGGATATCGAGCAGATACGACTCCGGTTTCGTCGCCTTGAGGTTCCGGAAGACGAAAGAAGCCGAGCGGGTGAGCGGGGCCGTCAAGGGATGAGGTACGTGACTGTTGGCATCTTCTCTATCCTTCGGTGACGGTAATGAGGTCAAGGTCGCGTGTGTCCCAGCCGGGAGGGTGTTAGGGTTGGGTAGCAGATTCGAAGGAGGGATAGTGAGTGTGAGGGAAGCGGACAATACTGTTGTGAACGTGGCCGCAACGAAAAGGAGAAGGGCGGAAAGAGACGACCTGAGGAAGAACATGATCGCAAGGGAGCGAGGCGCTGAGCCTAGAATAGAATTGAAAAAGACAGCAGCGTCCTCACACAATTTTCGAGAATTTCGTAGGCGGTTAGGCGAAGAAGAGATGTCGTTTAGATGGAGCCCAGCAGCTACATAAGGTGACGAAGGCGTGGTGTTGGAGTGAGTGCCAAGCTCTTCGGTCATTCGTCTATTTTCCGCATCAACCTACTACTACATAAGCGACAATAATGCTACTAATGACATGACAAGCTTTGATTCCCGGATCTTGTCATTTGAATAATTCTCAACAGCAAAAGCAGAATGTGACTGAGATTGGGCTCACATAGCCTGCTGCCGTGCAATGAGTTCAGCTCAATGCCGGCCATTGACACATCACTGACTGCCACTGCATTCACACCTTTCCAAGGGGACAGGAAAACCACAAGTCCATTCCAACGGCGGGGAATATCACTAATGAAGTGGCCTGTATGCCTATCTCGTAGTCACTTCCCGTCTCGAAGGCATGGCAAATGGGATCTCGAGAGGAAACGCAAGATATCAATACCACCCAGGCACGAAGAATGATACTCGAAGGCTACCGAGGTCTGACTGCAGTTTATAGAATTCTAATATGGCATGTGCACTATCTGCTGTTCCGCAAGGCCAAAGACCATTCAAACATATGTACATTGCTTTAAGAGATTGGCTATACTACACCACGAGCACAGATAACTTGAAGGACTGGTATAATTCTATACAAGAAAAGAAGTCAAACCACATTTACAGCTTAGCCTTGGGAGCGGATTGTTCCTCCAGAGCCTGCTCATAAAGCTGATCCAGGAGCTGGCGATACTTCTTCGCGGTAGGAGGACGCTTCAGCTTGAGACTAGACAGAAAACCAGTATTAGTATCTGAAAGCAATGGCAATACTGCACGAAAAGAAGACGGCTACTCACGTCGGTGTCAGCAGGTTATTCTCAACCGAGAAAGGCTCAATGAGCAAAGCACAGTTCTTGACCCTTTCGTAACCAGCAAGCTTGTGCTTCTTGGCGACCTTTTCGAGGTCCCTCAACACAGCCTTGCGGACCTTGTCATCACTCAGAACCGACTCCAGTCCCTCAATGTCTGTAGCGTCGATAGTCCGACCGAGGACTTTGCTAGCATATGGAGCGAATGCATCGGGCTGGACACCGAAAATGCCAACCAGGAAAGTTTGAATGCTGTCGCCGTGAACGTAGCCTTGAGCAAAGTAACTAAGCTCAGACAGGTAGAGGCCTTCAAGCCGTTCGGGAGAGATGTACTCTCCCTGGGCAAGCTTGAGGACGTTCTTCCGGCGGTCGATGATAATAAAGCGACCCATTTCATCAATTGTGCAAACATCCCCAGTGCGGAACCAACCATCCTCGGTCATTGCTTTGCTTGTCTCCTCCGGATTCTTGAAGTATTCCCTGAAGATATTGGTACCACGCAGAAGTAACTCACCCCGCGGGAAAGGCTTGTCATCGACCGAATATTCCATGTCAGGCAGAGACATTAGACAGGCTTCGGTGGAAGGAGCGATACGCCCACAGTTGCCGGCGGTAAGATCCTTCGCAGACTGCGAGCTTGCGATGGCGTACGTCTCAGTCAGACCGTACCCCTGGATGAAGTCGACTCCAAAGGCAACTCTCAGGAAGTTGTGCAAGGACGGGTCGAGGGGTGCCGAGCCAGAAACCATGAATCTACACCGTTCCAAACCAATGGCCGCAGCGACCTTCTTGGCCCAGATTCTGTCGTATAGAGCATGCTTCACGGTGGCTTTGCTAGGGTCGGGATTCTTCAGATTGGCAGTTTTGGCGGCAACAATGTGTCTTGACAGGGCACCCTTGAAGCCGGGTTGCTCCACGGTGGCACCACGAATGACGTTGCCAAAGCGACTATAAAGACGGGGCACAGACAGGAATGCCGTAGGTTTCAACGCCTTGATATCGTCAACCAGTTCGACGATGTTACCGTGGAAGTAGCCGATACGCGCACCCGCCCAGAAAGCGGTATGCTCCGCTAAACGGGCATAGATATGGGCCAACGGGAGATAAGACAAACTCGTGTCACCCGGGGCCTGCTGGATGTTGACGAGAGCCGAAGAGGCAGCAGCCACGGCATTTTCATGGGTCAAGACCACACCCTTTGGAGGACCGGTAGTACCGGAGGTATAGTTGATAGTGACGATGTCCGAAGGAGACGGAGGAACGCACGGACGATTCGAAGCGGTGCCCAGTTCCTCAACCTGATCCATGGTATAGATTACGACGTCCAGATCGGCCGCGATTGATTCCAGGAGCGCACGCTTGGAGTGGCCGGCGGGTTCGCCAGCATCCAGAGGGTCCAGACTCACGATGATCTTAAGATTGGGCAAAGAGGGCTTGAGCTTGAGCAGAGTGGGAATATGCGGCAAGGAAGTGACAACACAGTTCAGTTCAGCATGGTTGATGATATACTCGGTGGCATCCGAGGCGAGGACATCATAGATCGAGACCGAGTAGAGGGACTGGGACATGCATGCCAGATCTGCGATGACAAACTTCAGTCAGAGGCCAGGAACATATTAAGCAGGCGAAGGAGAAGCGGGGAGTACACCGTACCAGTAATCTGCCATTCTGGCCGATTTTGACACCACAATCCAATCCCGTATGGTCCCGAGCGTCCGCAGCCATGCTTGTTGTGCAGTTCCACCAAGCCGGCGCCAAATGCAGCTCTTCGCTTTCGAACGGTCTCATAGTCCATCCACTGGTAAGGGCCATAGGTCTTTGTGACCGGGTCGTAAGGACGCCATCCGAGGCAATGGGCTTTTGGGCCTCGATTCGCGGTCGACTCGAAGACATCATGCGCCGTGAGAATCTAGACAGACAGGATCAGGATTAGTCGTGAGGAGGTTCCAGGGTATTCCGCAGCAGGTCTGCGAGACATTGAGGGTGTGTGTCTTCGGCGCATACCTTGGGGTCCAAGGTCTTTAAAAGCTCATTCTGGAGATTCCAAGCACGGTAGACTTTGCTCCGCCCGGGTTGCTCGGTGCCAGGAATAGCAACCGAATATGGAGTGCCCTTGGGAGGTTCTTGTCTCAATTCCTCCGCACGAGCGAGGTGGGTGGGTTGCTGGGAGAAAAACATGGCGGCGACAATGTACGATCTATCTCTGTTTGAGTTAGAAGGGTACAAAAGCATTCAGAAGACATGAAGTCGTTCCAAGGCCAAAGGAGGGAGGGGAGAGCTTTACGGCGTTCAATAGCACAAGTGCGAAGTCTCGACGACGATTGTAAAAAGGGGAAATTTACAAGAAAAAGGAGGGCTTAGTTTGTCCAGAAACAGAAAACGAGCAATCTATACAATGATGAAAGAGAAAGCGAAGTGATGGCGACAAGGACGGACAATATGGAGTCGAGATAAGTGAAAAGGGGAGTGGGGGAAGCTGGCCGGACTCCTTATGGGTACAAAACGACGTCTTCGTGCCAGACTGGTCTTGTTCTTTCCTTTCTCTTGCCTGTCCGATGGATAGAGAAATAAATATCTGGAGAGAGAAAGCGACTGGGGTTCCCTTACTCTCCGGGCCAGGGAAAGCCCACCAAATCGCCCCTCGGGATGGGGTAGTTACCTGAGTTAGGTAGGACTCCAGGCTGGGGCTTGGAGCATTGCCGAGCAGCTGAATGGCCAAGCCAAGCGTCGCAGTCATAACCGACCATTCATCCTCGTGGAAACTTACCTCGGCTGTTTTGCCTTTCACGCTCGCTCAGCAATTGAAGATACTCCGAGCCTATCAGATGCTATCCGCACCTACTCAGCAACTCCACCATCGTTATTGATGCGTTTCCGGCACCTTTGACATCAAAGACTCAATCACTAAGGTCACTCAAATAATAAAGGCGGAGAAGTTCTTCTATTTCCAGTTTAGACCGTTCAGAGCCCCGGAGATCCTAACGCAAGATGGCGTCGGTCGGAAATTGACGCCTCATACAGTTAAAGTCGCGGACAGCCTAGGTAAATATCTGGGGGAATTTCCGTCGATTTGACTGGACATACTCCGTACTGTTTATTCAGGTCAGCGAGTGATCGAGTTTGTTCGCATAGATGACAAGAGTGCCTACTGCCTATCTTTCACGAGTACTATTCTATTATGTGTATAGCGCGATAGGTACCCAGAGTAACCACCTACTAGGTAATAAGAAACCTACAGTGTCAGCTGCAAGGGATGATCCTTGGAGAAAGCTAATCGCGGTATGTACCTTAGCACGTGGATAGAGCTTCATGTGACAGTGTATCTAAGGTAGTCATGCAGCATTGTTGTCCTCCGACAGAAGGTAGGGATAATCAAATATTATCATTGACCGTTGTTGAGCTAACAAATATCACGAGTGAATCAAACAAAATATGTTTAGGGCATAACTGCAGCTATATATGGGTTAATATACAACTTGAACTTTCCGGATCTGATGGCACATGAATTATCTATTTATTCAATAACTGCAGAGCACCACAATCAGATCACACCCATGAAAAGAGACAAGTCGCCTGACTCCATGCCAAATGCTGAACCCTAAGAGAGAAAATATCTACATGCTAGTATATACAAGACAAAACTGAGATAGGCACAGGGGTATCAACCCTATTTCACCGACGCATTCATCCTTTCTCCTGGCACCAGTCCGCAAATAATCGGACAGCCGAACCACAATACCAACGAACGTAGACGTTGCAACAGCCCGTATTCCATTTTCTGTACATTAATTACTTCTCCTGTGAACGGCCGACACATATGGTAGAGTTTAACGGGCCGAGAAGTCGCGCCATGTTTCTATCCCAGGATCGCGCTGCCCAACTTCTTATACCACTTGGTGGGAGTGACCGTTTCCCACATCTCGTTTTCCAAAGCAACGCGGCCAGTATCGATATCTGCTTCGATTGGACGCACAAATGCTGATCGGAAGATGATCTTATGGCCCAAGTAGAGCACAACGAAAAGGATCAAACTGAGGTAGGCGACGAAAAAATCGGTCACGCTGAATGTTGGAATCCAGGCAGTGAATCCTTGTGTGAGAATAATCAGGATGTTGAAGAACAAGCCATAGTAGGCATACCATGGCTGCCACAAAGCCTTGTACGGAAGGAGGTCACGAGAAATGTTGCGAGCTTCTAAAGCCCGCATGAACGCAATATGACAAGCATTTAATGATGCCCATGTAATGAAGCCTGCCACGCCGGAGATATTCAGGAACCAGTTGAATACAGTGCTACCGGCATTGGAAACATTCATGAATCCAAGCAGGCCAAAAGCCGAGGTGAATGCAACACTGTAGTAGGGAACACCTTGCTTGCTAGTCCTCTTGAACAAACGTGGCGCGAACCCTTCCTGTGCCAGACCAATCAAGATACGGCTGCCACTATAGACATTTGAGTTCGCAGCGGAAAGAACCACAGTCAACAGGACCGCATTGATGATATCCGGCAGAACCTTCACACCCGCTAGCCTGGCTGCAATGACAAAAGGTGAGGAGTTGGCGTCATTTCCACCAGTGAGAAGGTTCTCATTAGTGTAAGGCACCAGCAGACCGATGAAGAAGATAGTTAGGACAAAGAAGAACAGGATCCGAAAGAATGTCTTGCGGATGGCTGAAGGAACAGTCTTGCGGGGGTTCTCTGTTTCACCAGCCGCAATGCCAACGAGCTCAGTCCCCTGGTATGAGAATCCAGCCTGGATCAGGACAGCCCAGAAGCCGACAAATTTCGCGGTAGAATCGGGGTGAACGCCTTCATAGGGGGAAAAAGGGCCAGGGTCCACCCAGTGCCGGAAACCAAGATAGCCACGGTTACCAGCACCTGCGTCAATGCAAATAGCGAAGATCATGAACCCCACGACAGTGATGACTTTGATGCTTGAGAACCAGAATTCCAACTCGCCATAAAAACTGACGGGCAAGAAGTTGAAAAGTGTGATCATCACCCAGAATACAGCAATAAAGATGGCGATCTGGATGTCAGATCTCCAGAATTGGATGATCAGGCCCGTTGCGGTCAGCTCAAGGGCAAAGGTGATGGCCCAGGAAAACCAATAAATCCAACCCATGGCGAAACCCAGACTCGGGTCGATCAATCGCGTGGCATAGGACGTGAACGCTCCTGGGATTGGAATGTATGTAGCGACCTCTCCCAAGGAGGTCATGACCGAGTAGACGATGGAGCCGACGAAGATATAGGCAATGAGGGCACCTACAGGGCCTGCATGTGCGATAGCGGTACCGCTACTGATGAAAAGACCTGTGCCAATAGTACCACCTACCAGAGTGGATTAGCAGAGGGCGTCATATTTCCAAGTCGACGTCCGAATCGAAGTATGACTCACCAATGGCAATCATCTGTAGATGCCTGCTTTTCAACTTCCGCTTGAGATCGGGCAGCGGATTCGATTGACGGCTAGCTCCATGCTTCTCACAGTCCAGATCGTTTGAGGTAGGGGGAGGACTATTGTCGTACACCTGGACAGGCTCATCGTTTAACATCTTGCCCTTGCCCTCTGCAACCTTTGGCGCAGCCGTGACCTCAAACTCATTGAAGGCCATCTGTCGAACGTTCAGCGCTGAAGATTGAAACAGGACGGATTGGAGTACGCAAGCGCACTAGACGACTGGTGGGGATTCAAGGTACTAAAAAGAAAGAAAAAGAAGAGGAGAAAAAAATCGGGGTGGAAGGAGGGAAGCGCGCCGTTCAACAGGGACTCCACTTAAGGTTGAGCGAGTCGAGTCCACTAGATAGATACGCACTGCCGATTAACGGAGCAAGACAAGCCGTTTATCTATTCTGCACTGCTGTCTGAATTGACTCAAGACGAGGTTCAAGAATGCACAATGAAAAGACTTTTGCGCTCTGCTTTTACTGCAAGTGCATCAGCTCTTCAAAGACAGAAAAGAAAAAGACTGACACTTGCAATGGGGTAACGGCACAGCCAATGACGAACGAGACAGATGAAATCAGTATGTACAACGTACAGGAACATGTTATGTAAAGAGAACAGTAGACAGAAACTGGCTGGAGTGGGCTTTAATAATGGAGATTATGGAGTCTTTCTAACCGCGAGCGGGAGGCAATGTAACGTTAATTGGACACTCGGAGGGAGATTAGAACTGAGAATAGCTAATGATTATCATTTTTGTTATCATCACTGGACCACTATCTACTCTTAGTAAAATGGAAACCCTTTTCACCAGGTAGTCTTTGGTGCACGATACAATTTTCCGTCCCTCCCTCCGCCAGTGATAAGACTTGAATCAATGAATGCTGGAAAGCACGGCCCTCTGGAGGCCAATGTATTTCCCAACATCGATCATTTGCTCGGGGCTTTCGATGTCACCCAGATATTTAGTATTCAAGAGTTGCCATCCAGGGACGTGGAGCGCTGCTGGGATCGCTGGATGACGGGCGGCGAGAGAAGAAATTTTTTTCTCGTATGACTCGATGCTAAACGATTTAAGTGCGGTGGCGGAAAGTTGACGAAGCTTGGCTACCTGGAAATCGGAAATCGGGAAATCGGGAAATCGGAAATTGGAGATGAGTTGCCGAGAACGAGAACTTCCTAGCAACTGGATATTCATTATCTAGATAGATGATATGATGCCTTAGATAAGTGCAACTACACATACCGACAGAAATTCTCTTGGTTGCTGTTAAATTTTCTCTTCGGAGTCTTCCACGTTCATCGTAAGGTTACGGCACCACCTACTGTGTATTCGGGGTCGGTGCATGCAAACATCTAAGCTCAGCTCGGCAGTCTCCGAGGCCCGGATTGCTGGCCAAGCTGGTTTCTAAGGAACTGCGAGCAACCAAACACTCAGACTACAGAGGCCTAGATTAAATCCTTAGGAACCGAAGCAAAATAGTTTTAAAGGGGTCTAGACATTATTGGGAAGGCCTGGCATAACTGGGATCAAATCTCTATCCCAAACCAAGGCTTGGGACGGGGGTTTTCTTGGGGCGGGCAAACTGAGGCGTGGCTAAAAGCTTCTAGAATATTTCCTTTCAAGTGATCCTTTTGAGGCATCCGCCAGTCTAATCCTCCTGTCTTGTACAACGCAATCATGCTTCGTACGTCATTAGAAGCAGAGTCAAGATAGGGCTCATGTCATCGACCACCATTGACATTATCCGGCAATTCACTTGACCTTGAAATCTTACAGTGGGTGCCCCTCTACATGACTTTCTTAGGAGAAAAATATCATGTTAAATGATTATCAACGAGATTTCAGCAAACTTGTGGATCAGTGTACGACAGAGGTCAGAGACATGGTATAGGACTGACGGGGTATCAACATCACAGCGTGCAGAGAAACGAAGTAGGTATCACTATAAAATGTACAAAGGCATAATGATTAATAGATGAAGTCGTGGTCTCCAGTAATCGCCAATTGCGGATTTATGAAGTTCGGAAAGTCAGACCGAGGGATCAACAGCCATCCTTCATGCGCTTCAGTGAAGTCCTCTATATCCTCGCGTCTGGATGACTGGAAACAGCAAGCATCGGTCGAAGCTGGCGTATATGACGCCATGCCATAAGAACAAGGCCCCTTTTCTTTGGAGACTCATCGCGATTATTCATGTG